CACGATATGACGAACGCACGATATGACGAACGCACGATATGACGAATCATCTAAACGCACCATTTGAGAGTAATATCTAGAAAATAGGCAAAGAGCTGGGAGAAGGATACTGACGGAGCCAACATGGGTTCGGCACTGTACATATTTGATAATGGCCAGCTAAAATGTGCCTTTCAAGCCTTCTTGGCCGTGTGACTCCACGGAGGAACATGATAGATTCTACAGGGTCCTGGGGACCGTCTGACTATATACTAGCTGGTAATTTACACTGGCATACTAGCGCGTATCGGAGGCCTTCGGTCGAAGGCCTCTTACGGCCTAGTCCGTAATCGGCCTAACGGTCTTTACAAGACCTTGGCAGCGTTTCCAGTCACAGCGGTGAGGAACGAAGGGCCAAGTTGAATCCCTTTCCACTAACAAACCTTCCTCCCATCCTCTGAGACGAGAATCACCCTACATTTTTCCCTATCAATACTCCTATTCTCATCCACCCGCTCTGCGTTTTCACCGTGCTTTCTACGCTCTCCCCCCGAGGGTCCTCCAACTGTCGCCTTCAGACCCTGTTGTCTCATTCTACCGGAGGGATACTTTCTGCCGTCTATCCGCGTCGCTCTTAGCGGCTTTTTGGCATGCCCAGATCCATCCCACCTGTCGCCCAGTCCAATTCATCCAACCGTCCTTTGTCTGCCCACGGAATCGATCGAGTTACCAGCTTACCACACGTCTCCAATCCTGCAACCACCTAACTGCTCGTGCCTATATCCTCTGTCCAGTTTAGAACAACGTCTTCATCACCAATCACTTGCCCGCGAGTCGCCTCCCGTGAACAAAGTGGCTCTACGGCCATTTTGTGTACGCTGCTGGACGCGGCCCAGAACCAGCGCCTTGTGGCACTCCCAAACCACCTGCCGCCATCCCGTCCCTACCGCGCCTCATGAGGAGGAACACTCTATAGAGGATTTCGCATCGTCGATGTCTCGCCCGGACGAGACACTGGCAGCCGCTGCGGCAATTCTGCGTGGACTGGCCAAGGGTTCGACCTCGACCACCTACACCAATGGCTTGAAGCTTCCACCCTACAAGCTTCCCGGCGAGGACACACCGGGAAAAGAAGACTTCGAGGCTGAGATAGCCGCTCTTGCAAGACGGATACACTACCTAGAATCTCGGGCGGATGTTGTCGGCCGCTCGCTGCCAGATACTCCAGGTGAATTCCACAGTCCTGCCTCGCCTTTATCCCGCCCAGTCGAACCTCGGGGTTCTCTGGGCGAACCCGGCGCTGATTTCCCTGCAGACTCTGCAGAGAGAACGCCTGCAAGCTCCAATCATTCAAAGCGTGTCACCAATCTTCTCGCTGCCAGGGACTCCTTCCGACCCTCGGAGCCGGACCGCGCAGTCAGCGAAGATGATATCAGCATATTGCGAGAACACGTTGAAAGGCAGGCTGAGCAAATAAAGAGTCAGCGAGACACAATTGCGGAAATCAGTCGCGGTCTGCGAAACTCTGAAGAGCAGGCCAAACAAGCTTTCATGCGGGTGGAAAATGAAGACGTTTCGATCTTGGAGAGAGAGCTGCGGAAACATCAGCAAGCCAACGAGGCATTCCAAAAAGCACTGCGTGAGATCGGCGGCATCATTACCCAAGTTGCCAATGGTGATTTGTCCAAACGAGTCCAGATCCAGGCAACGGAAATGGACGATGAAATCGCGGCCTTCAAAGTCACCATAAACACCATGATGGACCAGCTTGAGATTTTTGGCAGCGAAGTCACTCGTGTTGCCCGCGAGGTAGGCACAGAAGGCATTTTGGGGGGTCAGGCTCAAATCAGTGGAGTACAAGGCATATGGAAGGAGTTGACGGACAACGGTATAGCCTCTCAATCGCTCCAGTTAAAGAATTTGAACTAACGCCTGAGCAGTCAATATAATGGCAGCCAATCTGACCGACCAGGTCAGAGAGATTGCAACCGTGACCAAGGCCGTCGCACGTGGTGATCTCAGTCAAAAAGTACAAAGTCGCGCTAAGGGCGAAATTTTTGAACTACAGCATACAATCAACACCATGGTTGACCAACTTCGTACATTTGCCACCGAAGTCACCCGCGTAGCAACCGATGTCGGAACGGAGGGTGTCTTAGGTGGACAAGCCCAGATTGAAGGAGTACAGGGCACCTGGAATGAACTGACCAAGAGCGTGAATGCAATGGCGGACAACCTCACGACTCAGGTTCGAGACATCGCAATGGTCACCACAGCAGTGGCAAAAGGCGATTTGACACGAAAAGTCACAGCGAGCTGCAAAGGGGAGATTCTTCGACTCAAAATTACGATTAACAACATGGTTGATCAACTGCAGCAGTTTGCTCAGGAGGTCACAAACTTGGCCAAGGAGGTCGGAACCAATGGTGTGTTGGGAGGTCAGGCGACGGTGCACGACGTCGAAGGCACTTGGAAAGATCTTACTGAAAATGTCAACGGTATGGCAATGAATTTGACAACCCAGGTGCGAGAGATCGCTGCTGTCACCACCGCTGTTGCCAATGGCGACCTGTCAAAGAAAGTTACCGCGGATGTCCAAGGCGAAATCCTCGACCTGAAGGTGACAATCAATTCGATGGTTGACAGATTAAACACTTTCGCTTTCGAAGTCAGCAAAGTGGCCAGAGAAGTCGGCACAGACGGAACACTTGGAGGTCAGGCCAAGGTCGACAACGTCCAGGGCAAGTGGCGAGATTTGACTGACAATGTGAATACGATGGCTTCGAACCTAACAGATCAGGTACGAGGTATCTCGGACGTCACGCAAGCCATTGCCGCCGGAAATCTGGACAAGAAGATCGAGGTACAGGCACAAGGTGAAATCCTGACACTGAAAGTCACTATCAACAACATGGTAGACCGCTTAGCCACCTTCGCCCATGAGGTGAGACGAGTTGCTCGCGATGTTGGTGTCAATGGAAAAATGGGTGGCCAGGCAAATGTTCACGACGTCAGTGGACGATGGAAAGAGATCACAGAGGACGTCAACACTATGGCCGAAAATCTGACCGCTCAGGTTCGTGCGTTCGGCGAAATCACGGATGCGGCGACAGAAGGAGATTTCTCCAAGTTGATCAGCGTCAATGCATCTGGTGAAATGGATGAATTGAAGAGGAAGATCAACCAAATGATTTCAAACCTCAGAGACAGCATTCAGAGGAACACGGCGGCTCGTGAAGCAGCCGAATTGGCCAACAGGACAAAATCCGAATTCTTGGCCAACATGTCCCACGAGATCAGGACCCCTATGAACGGCATCATTGGCATGACACAGTTGACGCTGGACACTGATGATTTGAAGCCGCATTCGCGAGAGATGCTCAACACAGTACACAACCTCGCCAACAGCTTACTGACCATCATTGACGACATCCTAGATATTTCAAAGATTGAAGCCAACCGCATGGCCATTGAGGCTATTCCCTATACGATTCGTGGCACAGTCTTCAACGCTTTGAAGTCCTTGGCCGTCAAAGCGAACGAGAAGTCGCTATGTCTGGCATTCGATGTGGACAACTCAGTTCCGGACTATGTGGTTGGCGATCCATTCCGGCTGAGACAGATTATCCTCAACCTGGTTGGTAACGCGATCAAGTTTACCGATCAAGGCGAGGTTAAAGTAACGATCAAGAAATCCAAGGATTTGCTGTCAAACTGCGCGACTGACGAATTTCCGTTCGAGTTTGTGGTTTCCGACACGGGAATAGGTATACAGTCGGACAAACTCGACCTTATCTTCGACACTTTCCAGCAAGCGGACGGTTCAACGACGAGAAAATTCGGTGGTACCGGTCTAGGATTGTCCATATCCAAGCGGCTGGTCAACCTCATGGGTGGCCAAGTCTGGGTGACGTCCGATTTTGGTCACGGGAGCGAGTTTCACTTCTCGTGCATTGTCAAATTCGCGACGGACGACATCAGTGTCATCAGTTCCCAGCTCTATCCTTTCCGAAAGCATAAAGTGCTCGTGGTAGACAAGGGCGTTTCCAAATTCTTCGAACGCGTCCCTGCAATGATCGAGGAGCTTGGACTACGGGTCAAGGTTGTGAATGACGAGACAGAGGTGCCAGATCCTGTTGCCGTCACCGTTGAGCGGAATCGCAGAGCCACCGATGGAGGTTATGATGTTATCGTCATTGATGAACTTCAGACGGCGCAAAAACTGCGAGAACTCGACAAGTTCAAGTACATACCCATGGTTCTGCTGAATCCAACCGTGTCTATCAGCCTCAAGACTGTCCTTGACCTTGGCATAGCCTCGTACATGACGACGCCCTGTCAGTTGATTGATCTGGGTAACTGCATGATCCCTGCTTTGGAAGGCCGGTCTACACCCGTCATCAAGGATTACAAAAAGTCACTGAATGTTTTGCTGGCCGAGGACAACGAGGTCAATCAAAAAGTGGCCATTAAAATCCTGGAAAAATACAACCATGTCGTGACAGTCGTGGGCAACGGATTGGAAGCCGTCAACGCTATCAAGAAAAGCCGATTCGATATTGTCCTTATGGACGTGCAAATGCCGGTGATGGGTGGGTTTGAAGCCACGCGAGAGATTCGGCAATATGAAAAGGAGAAAGGTCTGCCCAGAACGCCCATCGTTGCGCTGACCGCCCACGCCATGCTCGGAGATCGCGAGAAATGCATCCAGGCACAAATGGACGAGTACCTGTCAAAACCGCTTAAACAGAATCTCCTTATGCAAACGATTTTGCGAGTGGCTTCCGACAGGGTGACAGATATTTTCAACAAGCAGGCTCGATCAAAATCTAATGGAGCTGGTAATAGCAATGGCGTTGGGGCGGATGGAACGGGGGCCTCGTCGCCAGCTAAAGACGAAGATACTCGAGCAGCATCAACTTTGAGACCCCCCTTCAGTGAGAGGTCAGTGACAGCATCAGGACCAGTGGTCCATGGCAGTGTTGAGAGCCCCTCTTTGGGCAAAGATGGCGAGCCCGATCCGATGTCGGCGGTTAATAGCAGCGTACGTTCGATGTCATGGTCGGGCTGAAGACAAGTCAGAGCTAATCGACGTGATCAGGTTCTTTTGAGGGCTCACAGTCAATGAGGATGTTGCTCTAATGGTTGCCGGACTACTGCACTTCTCCCAATGCATCAATTGATGAGATTATGTTTTGGGCATTCGTATTGTTGGCAGCGTGGAGTAATTCGGGTTTTGGCTCTTCTTGGATGTTTGCATTGCGATGTGACTTTCTATTTTTGATTTGCGGATCTCCCAAGGTTGATGCGGGACGAAGTGGGTGATGCAAAGGCCGTTCAGCCAGTGCAGTCTTCGTATGATGTTGGGTTCAGGACTTTCATGAGAGTTGATTGCTTGTAGGACAAGACAAACCAGGCATGGCCGGGACATGGGCACGGGACTCGGTCGGTGCAGAGAACCTGTTCACGGAGCCGAAGCGAGACCATAAATCGCTCATATATTTCTTCTTCGAACGTTCAAGGACCGAACTGATCTCGTTCATATGTACAAGGACTTGTACGTAGGGAACAGCGGTCACGGGTATGAGGTATTTTGCCATGTATTACCCCATGTCCCTGTTCGAATCAGTCGATGGTAGTGGAGGGGAGAGAGGGCCGTCGAGGCTATCGACAATCCCCAGCCTTTCCGGGCACAAGTTGATCCCCGGATTTCCGGATTCCCAGCGGGCATGGAGTTGGAGCAGCCAGAAAGAAGTGTACCTACCAGGTTGTGCGACAAAGTTGGTATCTTTCGAGGCGTTGTCTTGGTGGGGACTAGTTTGTACGAGAGGAGCTACGAATCAGCTGCTGCGTCTCGGGGACCTTAGTGATTAGTGACACATACGGTATTGCTATATGATCCGCTCATTCTTGCCCATCGCCCGCAGGCTGCGGATTAACTCATTGACCAAGCACGATACCCCTACTTTTGTCGAGTCCTGGCTTTGATTCCAACTCATTCCGAGCATCCTCCCATTCCCTCGTTGGTGCGCCGGCGGACCATTTCCCATATGCATTCACCATGAGCCATGTATGAACACAAGCACTGGCTCTGCACTCGAATATGTCACACTCCGTCGGCGAAAGCGCTGCGCCCAGTGCTCAGCCAGCCACAACCGAGCAGGGTCTAATCGATGTTCAAGCTGCTGCTCCAGAGAATGCGCCGACGTCCAATTCCACTGCCCCTCGCCTGAACCCGCGGAGTTGCGTCACATGTCGTCGCAGAAAAGTCCGTTGCAATAAAGAAAATCCATGCGCGAACTGTGTAAGAGCGGGGATCGAATGTGTGTTTCCCGGTCCTGGCAGAGCACCTAGAAAACCAAGGAAACCGCCTGATGCAGAGTTATTGGCGCGGCTGCGCAGATTAGAGGGCGTTGTCCACAGTCTCGGTGCGCAAGTGGATGAGAATGGAATTGTGTCGCCTGCTCTCACGGGCTCGACGGATATCCGGGCACGCTTCGGTGAAGTGCAATCAAGCGATTCACCAGTCTCTGATCGCTCGGACCCGAAAAGACAGTCTATTGACAAACATTTCGGGCGCCTAGTGATCAACGAAGATCGCAGTCGCTATGTGAACAGTGCGTTTTGGACGGGTATGAGCGATGAGGTGCTTGGCTACTTTGGCATCTGCAAGAGAGCTCTGGCTGACAATTTGCACAGATTGCCGAGATGCGGGACTTGCTCGACCCATCAAGCACCGAAGATGGAGATGAGGTTCAGTCTCCCGAAACCGACCGCCAATCCAATCACCAAGCCTTCCTCTTTGGTTACTCCTCAGTCATGCAAGATCTGAGAGAGTTGCATCCTAGTCCCAGTCAGATTTTCATTCTTTGGGAAGTCTTCAAAGAGAACGTCGACCCTGTGGTTCGAATACTCCATCGGCCTACGGCCAAAACGATTCTTATGAATGCTGCGAGTAGTATCGATCGAGTGTCGAAACCAGCAGAAGCCTTACTGTTTTCAATCTACTTCGGGGCGGTCGTCAGCTTGACCCCCGAGCAATGCCGGCAGCTGCTAGACGAGGACAAGCAGTCTCTCCTGAAGAAGTACCGATTTGCAACAGAACAAGCTTTGGCCCGCGCAGATTTTCTGAACAGCTCAAGTCTCATGTGCTTGCAAGCACTGTCGTTTTTCCTCATATTTGTCCGGCATTGTGATGACTCGAGATTGGTGTGGGCATTGGGAGGACTGGCTATCCATCTTGCACAGTCGCTGGGCATCCACCGCGATGGAACCCATTTCGGACTAAATCCATTTGATACAGAAATGCGACGCCGGTTATGGTGGCAAATTTCCCTGCTGGACAATCGGGCAGCCGAAGATCATGGTGTTGATCCTTCCTTTAATGACCAATTTTACGATACCAAGGTCCCTGCGAACTTGAACGACGACGACATCTATCCCGGCATGAAGGACTGGCCCAAAGAAAGAATCGGAGCGACCGAGATGACGTTCTGTTTGATTCGCTACGAGATCAGCGTCTTTTCGCGGCGCTTCAACTTCGCAGCCCCTGGATACGGTACACCGCAAATCCCCGAGTTGTGCTTGGAAGAAAAAGAGAAATTGATCGACGAGTGTCATCGGAAGCTCGAAGAGAAATACTTACGACATTGTGACATGAATATGCCTATATATTGGGTGGCTGCAACGGTCGCCCGTCTCATCCTGGCCAAGATGTGGTTGATGGTTCACCACCCGCGAGCGTACTCCAACAACAACAACGAAGGATCGCCGATGCCGGCAGAGATCCGTGATCGAGTGTTCATCACTTCAGTGGAAGTGATAGAGTTCTCTCATCTCCTAGAGAAGAACGAAAACACGGCGAAATGGGGTTGGTTATTCAGGACCTACATGCAATGGCAGTCAGTGGCCTTCGCATTGTCAGAGATATGCGTCAGACCACCTGGACCTGATGTAGACCGAGCTTGGCGAGCGGTTGAATCAGTCTACGGGGAACGAATGACGAATTCCAAGTATCAGAAAGGAATGCTATGGAAACCCTTACGGCACCTCATGGCCAAAGCAAAGGCCCGAAGAGCAGCGCAACAAGCCCAGTCAAACCAGATCCAGCCGGATTCCGAAATCATGTTTGCCGATATAGGTGACCCAACCCCCATGGAACGGTTTATGCAAGACTATTCAGCCAGCGCGAGCGCGAACGCGATAGAGACATTCGGTATGGCAGGCGAGGAGCCCTACAATGCAGGCATGGCCTTAGATCCGCGAGTGCGAGAATCCTTTCGGGCAGCAAGTGGCAGTGCAACGGCAGAGAGTGTCAACACCATCACGCAGGACAGTTCTAGTAGTGCGGGAGTGAACTGGACGCCGGAGCATATGCCGCTAGGTAGCAACGACATTTTGGACTTCGGATGGTCACCATCTGTGGGCGACTTTACGGTGCGGGGAGAACCTTTCCAGCGATTTTTCGTGACTATGCAAGAGAACTGGTTCTGATGGGCCATGAAAAAGTACGCATGTACCAACATTATACCCAGCATCTCGAATCTAGAGACGCTGCCTCTACTATCCCCCAATTCGCGCGACCTTATCTCCAAACGGATGGTACCTGTACGAGCAAGTGGAAAATACATCTGCAGGTAAGACGGATGTGCTGAACATTTGGTAGGGCGCTAGATCCCGGATGGGGCATGGTATGGCTTATTGACGAGATCTATTTCTGGGGCGAGGGGGTGAAGGGGATTCTGGATTCTAGGTAGATGCCAATGGTGTGGGTTGTGGCTTGTGAGGAAGTAAGCGCCAATTGACCAATTCCGCTCTAGCGATTGGTTCTCTGGGAGGCACCCAGCACTGGCCCGGGGGCTCAGGGCTCAGATTCCTATTCTACTGTGCTAAGCTTTTCGGAGCCCGTCAGGGCCATGGCTTAAGTGGGCTATGGCAGGCTTGGATCTGATCGAGTCGTTGGGGGTGGGTTTGAGCTCCCAGGCTCTGGCTGGGTGACGCCCCAGCTGCCCCTGTCCATCGCCCAATCGACTGGCTGTGCTGAGTCCTCGAAGCGACTCAGGCTCCATGTTGGCCCGCTGTCCCTGTTCACCGCGCCGACCTCCACCATGACATTATTCGAGGATCCAGGGGCTCCATCATTCCCCATGCAGCTCTTTTCAGCTCTAAACAACTTCTGAAACCCGCTGCTTCTCAAAACAGACGTCCGTCGCCTGGCCACTCGTGGTGTAGATTTCTTTACCCTTTTTTTTGGTGATAATTCCAAGGCGCCTGCTGACTTCGAGTCTGTCTTTCTCTCCCTCTCATCCTCTCACTTTTCCAGTCTCTCATCTGGTGTTCTTTCCTTCTTTGTGCCTGCACCGAGTCTGGAGCCATCTCGTTGTTTGCCTTCGCTACCTGTCTCGGTGTTGATCTGTCCTTCGTTGACCCGTTCCTGTCCCATTCCTCCAGAATATAAGTATAGTAATCTCTGAGCATAACCTCAAGCATGCCATCTGAATCTCAATCCAAGATCAGGGTGCTGATCAGCCTGTTCCTGGCCAGTGAGTTGCAATCCCTGTCCTCATCCTGGCACTGAAAGGAGAGCCGTCCTCGCTGACCATGGCACCCTCTCGCAGCCTTCTTCCTCTCAGCGCAGGCCGCTGTTCCCGCATCCACGTATGTTGGACAAGGCACCTCACCGGATCCCAATGATAATATCACTGTTTCCATCAACGTGCCCAACGACAACTCCAATTCTCTCTTCTTCCACTTCTCTGCACCTGCGGGCCAGACATGGGGGGCCTTTGGCTTCGGCTCACATATGGCGGGGGCTTTGATCTTTGTCACATATGCGTCGCAAAGTGGGAACAATGTCACTGTTAGTCCTCGTCTCGGCAAGGGCCATGTCATGCCCCAACATACATCGGATGTCCAGGTGGACGTGCTGAGTGGCAGTGGTATCATCGACGGGTCTTTCGTTGTCAATGCAAAATGCTCCAATTGCCGAAGCTGGGATGGGGGCAGCATCAATGTTGACAGCACAAACCAGCCCATGATCTGGGCCGCTGGTCCGACAGGTTCTCTCTCTTCCAACGACGTCAATGCTCAAATCAAACAGCACGAGGGGTACAATTTCTTCAACTTAAACCTCAAAGCCGCAACCGGGACTGGCGGCGTCCCGGTTGTGAGCGCGTCCTCGGACACAGTCGTTGGTGGTGGTCCTGAGGGTGATTTTCACCATGGCGCTACTGGTTTCCACGCATTCCTCATGGTCGCCGCTTTTTTGATCGTCTTTCCTGGAGGATATTTGTTCCTTCGCGTATTTGAGAAGGTGTGGCTGCACTGGGCCATCCAGTCCTTGGCCCTGCTCATGACCATCCTCGGTATGGGTGTTGGAATCGCCATCAGCAAAAGGAACAAGATTGTGAGCAGCAAACCCCCTTTTCCCTGTCTCCTGGTTGGGGCTAACATTTCTAGTCTCCTAATTTGACTGCCGGTCATCAAATCCTCGGCTTCGTTGTTGTCGGTCTCGCCCTTGTCACCTGGATCGTCGGACTTGTTGGGCATCGCATCTACAAGAGGACGAAGCAGCCCGCCAAAATCATGAAAGGACATCGTGTGCTGGGTCCTGCCACGATAACCTTAGGTCTGGCCAACTGTATCGTGGGTTTTCGGTTCGCCGATAACACCCGCGCAACCATTGTCTTTGCTATTGCGATGTTGTTGATGCTCATCTTCGTCGGGACTGTGACGTTCTTCAAGCGTCGCCAGCAACAGCGGAAGGCGCCTATGAACACACCAGCTGCGGCTAACTTCCGCGAGGGCCAAGCCGAGCCGCCTAACTATACAGGCGAGGCGCCGCTGCCTTTGTACGGTCAAGGCGGGATCCCCCTGCAGAGCTATGCGAACAACCAGGCTCCTCCTGTGTATCGCTAAGGACATGAGCCCGCAGATGGGTCTGATTCGGAGTTCGTGCAACTTCGGCTCGAAGAAGAGCCTAGAGCAATGGTCGACGAGGACAGTGAAGAAAGAATCGTTGTTTATTTAAGCTGGGAAGATTGGGTACAATCTGCAGGTGTCCGGTTCGGGATCGGTTGGCGGCATGTATGCTCGCTATAATATTTTGTGTCACGGGATGTTTGGACAATATTGTCTTTTCGGATGAGTTCGAGAGCCCGGTAAAAGGGCAGAGCTTTATGAAAATGAGGCGGGATAAAGGTAGTCCAATATGAGTGAGTATACTGGCCGATCTTAGGCCCATACATTACGGTCGGCCACATCAGAAATTTTTGTCGTGGATGCCTTCTCTAGAGTATTAAGCGTCAAAAACTCACCCATTCAAGCCACACATCTGGATGATCTGGTAGAAACGGGTTCCTCGGCTCCGGCCTGTGGGATTGCGGGAGGGCACCTGGCTCTCTCCCATTCAAGTTCCTGGCGATCGCGGACAGGTATGTCCTCTGTCTTGTGGAGCAGCTCCATTCTGTGCACCCTCATGGGAATCTCGAGTCGACGGTGCTGGCACCAGTGAATATGCTCCTCAGCGAACTCCGGATGTGGGATTGACCAGACCTTGGCCGCCACACTTTTCGGCAGTTGTTGATCGTCCTTCATGGTCTGGGGTTCCTCTGAGATGCTACAAGACTTGAGTAGCTATACCAAGGAGCTAGCCCGGTCGTTCCCCGTGAGTCTGGTGTTGAAAAGGACATCTGCAAGTTGATGATTTGTTGATCGGGCCTCCTCCGCAATATTTCCCCATGTTACTCCATATTCTGCATCCACCAATATGCCTCCTACTCCAAAAGGTGGCAGTAGGTCCGGCAACGTTTCCTATGGATGGATACCACACGGTCCCTCATGCTGTATATCCATGACAGCTCTCGCTCCCAACAACGGGCTTTTGCTGCTCCTTTTCTGTTTTTTTCAAGAGGCTTCGACCGACGTCCAGACCAGCATCCAACTTTGTTGGCCGATACCTCTACCATCGAACCATAGTAGTCACAGGACCTGATACGGCGTGTTTCCAAGATGGTTGGCGGTGCTCCTATTTCTGCCAACCCGCTCAAGCTCGATGTGCAAAGCCACGCCAAATGTCTCGCCATATGTGTCGTGGCAACTATGGCCACGTTCCAGTATGGTCTTGACTACGCACTCGTGGGCGGATTCCTCTCAATGCCCGGCTTCCTCAAAGTCTTTGGTTATTATTCGGAAGACTTGGGCAAATGGAACATTGACCCGACGGTCCAGCAGTTGATATCTTCCTTGATGACGATAGGCACTTTTGTCTCGTCGCTGCTGGTCGGACCCTTCAGCGCCAAATTTGGGAGAAGGCAGGGCCTCTGGGCGGCCACGCTCCTCAACTTCGTGGCTACCAGCATTCAGATGGGGACAAAGAGCAAGGCGGCTCTTTATGTTGCCCGTCTTATCTTGGGTGGGCTCTTCGAGAACCATTTCTTTCCGTGTGTCTTTCGCTGACCCTCTCCGAGGTATCTCCGTTGGCTGGTTTCTGACATTCGCCCAACTCTACGTCCATGAGGCCGCACCCGCACATCTACGTGGCATCGCATTTGGCTTGTACCAAGTCATGCTTTCCATTGGGTCCATTGTTGGTGCAGCTGTTGACTTTGGGACGCACACCAAGACCGGGCGGGATGCATATCAGATCCCCTTGGCGATCTTCTTTGTGGCTCCAACTCTACAAGCCATTCTGCTCTTCCTCTTCGCGCCCGAGTCTCCCAGGTGGCTGATGGTCCAGCGCAAAGAGGCAGCCGCAGAGGCGTCGTTGCGGAAACTTCGAAACTCGAACATCGATGAACTAGAGCTCCAGGCGGAGTTGAACGAGATCCGGCAGTCAACAAGGGAACAACTGGAACAGAACAAGAAAGCGCTGTTCTTGGAGATGTGGCGAGGCACAAATCTGCGCAGGACTCTTCTCTCGATCGCCGTCGTATGCTTCCATTCGGCCAACGGGTAAGTGCCCCGTCCCTTGATGGATAATCCCCACGTCTCCTGATACTCCTCACATGGCTAAAACGTCGACAGATCAAGCTGGGTTAATATATACACCACGTTCTATTTACAAATGGCAGGTGTCAAGGACCCATTCGCCTACTCTATACTGGTCACCTGCACGGGCTTGATCGGTGTGCTGGTCAGTTTCTTCTTCGTGCGACTGATTGACCGACGCTTGGTGTTGTTAATTGGAATTTCGGCTTGTGCCATTTGCCAGTTAATCCCGGCGATTGTGTGGAGCGCGAGTCCGGGTAGTGAGTCGACAGGAAAAGTGGTTGTTGCTTTTATCGCCCTCTTCACGTTCTTCTATGTTGCCTACGGTTTGTCCCTCCAAATTGAAACTGGCCCAGAGTAAAGCTGACAACGATCTAGCTCCCTACGCGTGGCTTCTCGGTGGCGAGTACGTCAACAACCAACTCCGCGCCTTCACGTTTGGCCTGGCGACCGCCATGAATTTTCTGGGTAACTGGGCTGGGACTTTCAGCGCTCCTTACTTTATCAACCCTGCCAAATTTGACTGGGGGCCCAAATATGGATACATTTGGTTCGGAACGAACATGATCTGCGTCATCTTCACCTATTTCTTCTTGCCTGAGACTCGAGACCGTACGCTGGAGGAGATACACGAGATGTTCGAGGCCAGGTTGCCGGCGAGGAAATTCAAGGGGTATATCTGTGCTGGAGTGGAAAGCTACGCGGCCGAAGCCATGGGCAAGGATTTGACCGAGACGAAGAACATTGGGCAGATAACACACGTCGAGGAGTTGCGAGACGTTCAGAAGTGACCGGCTTGAGCAAGGTTGCCCATGTTGCTCATGTAAAGAACCGAACCGCATTGGACTGAAGCTTTGCGAAAGAGAGGATGAAAAGGATTCTTCCATCGATATCCGTGCCGCAGTCTGGCACAGAATATATGCTTTCTCTATGAGAGACTATATTTAGTCCTCGACGCCAACGAGGCTGCTGCCACATCGGAGCAGGCCAGTATGAACAATAACGACGAATATGTCGCTATATCCAAGAATGGGAAGAATAATTCATGAAGATGGACTCATGGATAATGAAACTACTTCTGCTGTGCTGCTAGGGTACCCTCCGAGGCCTATTCGACTTGGACTGAAGTCGGCTCGGTGCGTGGAGTCGCCGTCCCCCCGCACCAGTCGCCCGCTGCGGAAAAACACAAGCTTCCGCCAATCATTTCTTTTGCCCTTGAAATCTGACCGCAATTCTCACATTGTCCTCCGTCGCTATTGATTTCACCGAGCCATGTTACCATGTATCATATTTGCGCACTATTGACAGCAGACAACACGGCCGTCTTGTCCATTTCCATTGTTCCGCTGGCCTATCATTAATGACTCTCCAGCATAATGCCCCTAGACACAATCTCAACTTACTCACAAACCCTGCTCAGACAAGATGGCCGACGATGGAATGAGCTGCGGCGCATCACCGCCTCAATCTCAACTCAGCCTTCTAGTGATGGGTCTAGTATGCTCACTATGGGTAACACGGTGGTCCTCTGCACCGTGACTGGGCCAAGAGAAGGGTGCGATTGAATTATCCCGCAAGGAATATTCTCCACCGAAAAGACACAAGGGCTAACATCTACCTGATCACAGCCGCGGCCAACGCGACAATAATAACGCCCTCGTTGAGACCGACCTGAACGTCGCACCCTTTGCATCAATGGACCGGCGCCGGCGAACCCGTACCGACAAGCAAATCCAAGAACTACAATCCACGATATCCTCGTCATTTCAGTCCCACTTGTTCACGCACTTGTATCCACGCTCTCTAATCACCATCTCCTTGCACGTCTTGAGCCTTGATGGAGGTCTGCTCGTCGCGTGCTTGAATGCCGCTAGCCTAGCGTTGGTCGACGCCGGCGTGCCCATGCCGAGCATCCTTGCCGCCGTGAGCTGCGGGGTTATTGTTCCCACCGACGATTCCAAGGCCAAAGCAGAGCCCGTGTTGGATTTGAACAATGCAGAAGAGCAAGAACTGGCATTTCTTACAGTGGCTACAGTCTCCGGTGGCGAGACGCAGGAGGATAAGGTGTCGGTGCTGATGATGGAGTCACGGGTCGAGATCGCCGCCGGCAGCGGCAAGGTGGAGGCCATGCTGGCAACGGGTGTCGATGGCTGTAAAGAGGTGAGGAGGAAGATGGAGGATATGGTCAGGAAGCATGGCGCCAAGGTCATGATGAGTCGGAGGTGATTTTGCCATGACGAAATGACGTCGGCAGCGACTGATGACACGGACCTTGAATCCTCGTCCTCCCTTAGAATGCACGCCAAAAGGCCGTACTCGACTTGACCGACAACTGAACATTCCACACAATCTGAATGGAGGTCCACGAGGTCTGAGGCTTCGAAGATTTGGACGCCCAACAGCAGGTGCTTTCCTTCACAGGATCCACTGTTGCCGTTTGCGGTCGTATGAGCACAATGGACATGAAGGGCATATGGACTTGCTCAACGAGACCAGTTTGGACTGAGTGTCCCCAGCCCCAGAGTACAAGATTGGAGGAGGAGCATACAGAAGGCAAACACGAAAAAGGCCTTCCAGTCCCTCCATTTGAAATACTGCCTTGGACCTTGCGTCGACATGATCCTGTCGTCTACTCCGCTATTCCCACGACCCTCTGGACAACGTCAACCAAAGCATCATGCCCCTTGTCAAGAAGCTGCTTCAATTCTTCCGGCAGTCCTCCCTGCTCTATCGCGCGATTCTGTATGACTTGGATCAATCCTGTCATTTTCTGTTGCAAAGCACGCAGCTCCGTATTGTTGCGAAGCCATGGCGGTGTCTGTGGTCGAATCGGGCCAAAGTCCTGGCTAGTCCATAAGGATGTCAGTCATTGTGGAGAGAGTAGGCCTGGACGACGCGGGTACATGTCCATGGAAGATTCCGGGGGTAACCACTTACCTTTGAAGCATTGGTCTGGTCCTCCTCATCTGCATGTTGTGGTCAGTGTCCTTGATTTAGGCGACAACACCCTTCAGCGTCTTGACCAATGGGGTGTCTCTGATCTGAACTTCTGACAAGCTGTCGAAATAGCGTCGCGGGATGATTTTGTGCCCTTCTTCCCATGCACAGTTCTCCTCGTCGGAGCGGATTTGCGCGTACTATGCCCCTTGTGTCTTGGAAGCCATATCGGGCGAGGACACTGAGGCGTTCCTTGAGCACTGGTGACCGTTGGTGTTCGTGTCTTCGTGTCCTGTGCTTGTCCTCGTCGGGAAGCAAGAGGCACAGATAACGAAATGCCCAAGTTTATATATAGTGGCGAGAGTACAGCAGCTGTGAAGAATAGCTAACCACGCCAACACTGGCAGATTCCCACGCACCCAAACCTACATCTACGGTAACAACAGGGTGAGCGCCCTTGTCCGGAGACATAACTCGTCATTTCGGGTCCTCAGCCTTCAAGTTGTCTATCCTTATATGGCCGGTACTGATATTGTGACAAAACACCTATTTGATCTGCTCACCGTTGGGATCCTATTACTTACTAGCATGACTAGTCGTGAATAATTTGGATCCCTGTGCAATACGAAGTGATACTGCGCTAGGGAATGGATTTATGGTAGGCAATCTACAAAGGGACGCACAAGGTACCTCGTACGCGGTATCGCACGAGTAATAATTTGTTCAGCCTCAACAGATCTCGAGTCTGGTGCTGGGAGACAGATGAGCGGTGCAGCCAATAAAAAATAGGTTGCAGTGCGTGGGCAGTGATGCCACTCACAATTGTGCGAAGATAGACAAGTGGCACAGGAGGGGGACAGGCATCTCATGCAGGTACGGATTCTCTGCCGCGCATCATGGCGAATTATTGTCTTTGAGGGCCAGGAGATATGTGAGATGCCGAATCGGCCCACAAAGTGGACGTCTGCTTTGATTGATCTTCCGCGTCTTTTCGCAGCAGTCAGAGCCACCGGCCTAGTAGCTGTGGCGGTGATAACTGATGAAGCGGCCCAATCATGCTACCTAGGAAGTTGGCGTCGTGGAGAGTGTGGGCCCCAACAGAAACCCCAAAAAGGCCCCCATCCCAGACTGGGCAGGCAGGCAGGCAGCAAATACGAGGAGTGGCCCGGTGGCCCAGTGGCCCAGTAGCCCAGTGGAGCGTGGGCAGCAGGGCAGCCCCCCGAACAAACCTGCTGGAAATTTTGTGAACATGGCACCATCACGGCTTCAATTCCCCATGCCCAAATTCGTATTATCTGCTGCCTATGCTTCTCTCCCTCGACTCTTTCTCTTGCGCATATCTTTCTGTTAAACCTTCATTCGCTGCCGAGTGACCTGTTGTTACCCTCGCTTGCACACCTCGAAACACCCCAAACCTGCTGTCTAGAATTCTCCAACTACCTAGGTACATTGGTATGTGGCTGCCTCCTTGACATTGCCTTCTCTTGACCGCCACTTGCGGTTCGACCTTTTTCTTTGGCCTTTGTCTTTGTTTCGTGCAGCTCACAATGTGGCATCTAGGCTTGGTGTGGCCCTCCCGAGTATGGAAAGACACCTATAGACATTGACATCTTCTCCCTCGTCCCACCGCCCTTGTCGCCGCACCCGAGCACATCTACGATTCTCCCTCAAAATGCGAGGCTCCCATCTCCTCCCCAAACAGCTTCGCTCCCTGGGCAAGACCGACAGCTGGTTAAACCGTACTGTCACTTCCAACCTCCTTGCTGTCTCCAACCTTGCCTGCCAACACCCAATCCACACCGTTGTCGCCATCGCGCTGTTCGCCAGCACCTCTTACGTCGGTTTGCTGCAAGAGAGCTTGTTTGACAGTGGTATCAAATCTTTGCAGCACAATGGAAAAGTAGACGTGGAAGCACTGTTACAAGGAAGCAGGACGTTGGAGTTATCTGAGAGAACAGCATGGAAATGGCAATTCCCTGACGATTCTAGCATCCCCCTTGCGCCTTTGGTATGCCAATCCAGACCAAGCCCGACATTGAGATGCTGGCAGTGCTGACATTGTGTACGGCAGGGTTCACACCATTATGCCTTGACGACCTTCGTGTTCCCAGACTCTTCCTCCTCTCAGCTGGCTCCGGAAGCCAATGCCGTTCCAGTCCCGGGAAATGTCACGGCCACCAGTATTCCTACCACGTCAAACTTGCTCTCACCTATATCGCACGACACTTCCCTGGCGTTTTATACCTCCTTCTCGGAACTTCCTGATTTCTTGCGGGCCGTTCAAAAGCTCCCTGCACAACATGATTTGCCAGACGACCAAAGCCGTCCGTCCTGGACTATGAAAGCTGTTCGCTTGAATGGAAATGGTCCACGTGGTGCCTACCGCACCTGGTTGAGTGAAGGGTGGACCTCCTTTGTCGATCTGCTGAAACACGCCGAAACATTGGACATTGTCATCATGTCGCTCGGTTATTTGTCCATGCACCTCACCTTTATTTCCCTTTTTCTCTCCATGAAACGACTGGGTTCAAATGCCTGGTTGGCTGTTTCGGTCTTGTTTTCCAGCCTTTTCGCGTTCCTGTTCGGGTTGGTGACTACAACTAAGCTTGGAGTGCCAATCAACATGGTTCTATTGTCGGAAGGTTTGCCCTTTCTGGTGGTGACAATTGGGTTCGAGAAATCCATCATTCTCACAAAGGCCGTTCTATCTGCGTCTTATGACAAGAACCGGCGAGGACTGGAAAACGGATCAACGAATGGCAGCGCCAGTGGCCCCGTGGCCGCCCCGGCCGCTCCGAATTCCATCCAGGATGCCATTCAGATCGCTGTCAGGGAAACAGGGTTCGAGATTGTTCGGGACTACGCCATTGAAATCGCAATCCTCATCTTGGGTGCGGCTTCTGGGATTCAGGGTGGGCTCAGACAATTCTGCTTCTTGGCTGCATGGATCTTGGTCTTTGACTGCCTTTTGCTTTTCACTTTCTATACGACAATCCTCTGCATCAAGCTGGAGATCAATCGTATCAAACGGCACGTTGCCCTTCGCAAAGCACTCGAGGAAGACGGAATAAATCAACGTGTCGCCGAAGACGTTGCGACAAACAATGACTGGCCTAGTGGGCAGGCAAACCAAGCAGGAGCTTTCAACATTTTCGGGCAGAAAATCAAGGCCAGCAGTGTGCCCAAGTTTAAGATCTGGATGGTGACGGGGTTCGTCATCATCAACGTGATCAACCTATGCACAATACCTTTCCGGACCGCCCGAAGCATTAAAGCTCCCGGGGCTGCTATCCCAAGCGTTCTGACACCAGCTCCTATCGACCCTTTCAAAGTGGCGGAAAATGGCTTGGACGCGATATATGTGTTCGCAAAGAGTCAGAAGCTCGATACCTACGTCACCATTCTCCCACCCATCAAATATGAGCTCGGGTATCCTTCAATTGATCACGCTGGATCAGGAGACGATCTTGGGTTCTTCGATTCCGAATATACGGATCAGTTCCTTAACGTGGTCGGCGGGAGAGTGATCGAGGGTGTCCTCAGCAGTCTCGAAGATCCCGTGCTTAGCAAATGGGTTTTGATTGCGCTCACTCTCAGTCTGATTCTGAACGGATATTTGTTCAACGCTGCCCGTTGGAGTCTCAAAGAACCGCAGTCTGCATCAAGTTCACCTGCTGCATCTAAACCGCCGCAACTGGAGCTTCCCTCGACACCCAAACCTCGAAAAGCCAGCCTTGATGTCTCGCGGGATTCGGGGAGGTCGCGAGCAGAGTGCGAGCAGATGCTCAAGGACAAGAGAGCTGCCTTCCTTACGGATGAAGAATTGATTGACTTGTCTCTGAGAGGCAAGATCCCAGGCTATGCCATCGAGAAGACGCTGGAAAATCCCGAGGTTATGACCAGAGGCGAAGCTTTCGTTCGGGCAGTTAAGGTCCGCCGGGCAGTTGTGTCCAGGACACCGGCGACAAAGAACTTTGCGTCTGCGCTAGAGGCTTCGAAGACACCATACCGTGACTACAACTACGAACTCGTCCACGGAGCATGTTGTGAAAATGTCATTGGGTACTTGCCTCTTCCCTTGGGGGTTGCCGGTCCATTGGTCATTGATGGTGAAAGCTACTTTCTGCCGATGGCCACCACTGAAGGTGTGCTCGTGGCAAGCACCAGTCGTGGGTGTAAAGCCATCAATGCTGGTGGCGGCGCCGTCACCGTCGTCACTGGCGACGGGATGACTCGAGGCCCATGTGTTGGCTTCCCTACTTTGGCTAGAGCTGGTGAAGCCAAAGTGTGGCTTGACTCGGAAGACGGCCAGCGAAGAATGCGTGAGGCATTTAATTCTACTAGTCGGTTTGCTCGATTACAGTCGATGAAGACGGCTTTGGCGGGAACATATCTCTACATCAGGTTCAAGACGACTACTGGTGATGCAATGGGCATGAATATGATTTCAAAGGGCGTTGAGAAGGCTCTTTCAGTAATGGCCACAGAGTGCGGGTTTGACGACATGGCGACGATATCCGTCTCTGGGAATTACTGCACCGACAAGAAACCCGCAGCGGTAAACTGGATCGACGGAAGAGGTAAATCTGTGGTCGCAGAGGCCATCATTCCGGGAGATGTGGTACGCAGTGTTCTTAAGAGCGACGTGGATGCGCTTGTGGAACTCAACGTGTCCAAGAATCTCATCGGCAGTGCAATGGCGGGCAGTATCGGCGGCTTCAATGCTCACGCCTCTAACATTGTGACCGCTATGTTCCTGGCCACAGGTCAGGACCCGGCCCAAAATGTTGAGAGTGCCAATTGCATCACTATTATGAAGAAGTAAGTCGACAGTGCTTGGAACCAAAGGATCAGTACTAACTTCGAGCAGCCACAACGGAAATCTCCAAATCAGTGTATCGATGCCTTCGATTGAAGTAGGCACGATCGGAGGAGGTACCATTCTTGAAGCACAGTCTTCCATGCTTGAGATGCTTGGAGTGCGAGGAGCTCATCCGACAAATCCGGGCGACAACGCCCGCAAATTGGCCAGGATAATTGCAGCTGGGGTTCTCGCTGGAGAGCTCAGTCTCTGCAGCGCCCTCGCGGCGGGCCATTTAGTCCGGGCACACATGGCACACAACCGCAGCACAGCACCCACACGGGCAACGACGCCGGTGTCCGCTGCAGTTGAGCCTTTTTTGCGAGCCCAAAATGGCCCAAGTATACCGTCGTCCCTCAAAATGACGAATGGAAGGTGAAACTAGTTGGTCTGGAAACCGGTGTAAAAATGAACAATACTGTATATATTGGCGGGCTCGCGAACGCGCGTTGTGAGGTTATGGTAACTGGCCTGCCATTGACTGGTGGCCAGATGTTAATAATGATCAACGACGGCGGCAGAGGTATAATGGCCGAATCCGGGCTGCAGCGACAGACTTGTACAACATATGGAGCATACAAAATAGAGCAAGCAAGAGCAATCATCACTGGGATTTCTGTGATAATCGAATTCGCAGGACACTCAAAGCGCAGTCCAACCATTCTTGACGATGGTCAACGAGTAAGTTCAGCGAACGGAGCACTTGTTAAGCTTTTCGATCAGGCCCTCTGTGGCGCCCCTCAATGCGTGGGCGGCAAGACGGCGCTCTTAGGCGGGTTGTTTGTGGTCCAAATGGCGCCTGTGGTTCCTGAAGAACATGCAGAAGATGGAGGGTGGAAACGGCGGCTGGCCACTTACAAGACACTAGGGTTTGAGTTTCTGGATGGTGGAGATTCTTCTAGCGCGCCAGGACGGTGGATATGCGAGGGATTGGATCCATACATAGTAGGAGGTACGGAGTAAGGGGTTGGGAGAATGGCAAGAAATCGATGGCCTGACGCGGGTATGTTCTGCATAAGAAGGAACGGAAGTTAAGAGACACATGAAGAGTTGTGATGCGATGCCACGGTGGTAGTGTAGACTGTGGATTCAAGTATGTACCTATGTATGCATGCATACCTCGTATGGGTAGACGGTGAATGGTGCAACAGCGATATCACTTGGTTTTCAGGCACAGACCTACTCGTAGATGGGAGAGACGAGATTGGCGACTCCTCAATAATTAAGTGATACCGAGCAATAATACCATTGACTATTGCGGTCAGAGCAGGTGTGTTCCAATCAGAGCCTTTCTTTTCTTTTCCCCCTGGTCGGGACTGTGTTTTCCACCAGGCGAGCAGGCGATACACTATTGTTCCACCACCACTCAACGCCTGCGCAGTGCGCACAATTCTCTCCCTCTTTTTGTCATCCCGTCTTCACCACCCCAGCTACACTCCTACCTTCTCGCTCACTCGTTAATTCCACCACCACGCTCGTTTACCCTTTTCACATGGCCGTCTGCTGGACAGTCCGGATCATCTTTTGGAGGCCACAGAATCCCCGAGTGCATCAATTCCAGTCGCGCCTGCGCATTGGCCATTTGCCCTCGTCCGCTCCTTGACCCGCTGGACCAACCTGCTGTTGCACCCGCCGCCTTGTTCCTCCGACGTTTCCTGCCTCACATACCTTGTCCCCGTCCAACTGGCGCGGATTGGTCCAAAAGAAACAAAGAATACATCTTCTCCCACCCACCGTCTCCTCGACATTCCGACAAAACTGATTGTGGATGAACTCGCAGCATGCAAGCCACGATGCCGCCCCTCTCGAGAGGCCCCGAACTCTCACCTGTCTCGACGACGAGCGACTGGTCTGGTGTCAACCATTACAATCAACTTCCCCGGAATGACGGGCCCTTTGCGAATCTACCGGCGAAGCCTCCCGTGGACGAGTTCTTGCCCTCCAAACCTCAACCGTCGATGCGTCCTCCTCCCCCGAATGCTAGCATGAACTTTTCTCCTCCATCGTTGGATGCCATGGGACAACGTCGTCCGTCCGAATCCGGCTCACGAGGATCTTCACGCGCCGGATCTATAGCCCATTCCCGCTCCAGCGATGGCACCATCTCGGACGAACAAAGCAGAAAATATCGGAGGATGGAGGCAGAGCTATTTCAGCACTATACGATTTTGAAGGGTTTCCTCAAGGGCGGTGTTCATGCTCCCCCACGCCCTAATAAGGCTCGGGACAAGCTCTTACGACTGTCACCCGTCCAGTTCCACGAACTGAGCACTGATGTCTTTGACGAGTTACAAAGAAGGCAAGCATCAGCCCCCCTTCCTGGCCGCCCACCGCGTCAACAAAACATACCTCCCTTCCTCCAACCAAGACCCGATTTCCACGAAAAGAGGAATCAGGCCAGACAAAAACTCTCATCTCTGCAGATGCCCAGGTTTCGCGACCTGTCCACTGATGTGTTCTGCGAGTTGGAACGCCGGTTCCCGCAGTTTGCGAGACCCGATGGGGGGAGAAGAGACAGCTCCCGTTCACAATCCAGAGGTCCAGCGGCCTCATCCAGAGATGGCCCTCCAGTCCCCAATGGCTTCGGCGCACCACCCAGAACCCAGTCCTTCGGTTCCTCGGGCGCCCCAAACTATCCTCAGAGGCAAGAATCTGTATCCAGTCTCCCTCAGTTCGACAATCCTCCCCCACCAAGTGACTATGGTCGGCCACTGGCGAAGCAATTTCAGAGCAACACCATCACGCCCAATAAAAGTATGATGGTCGAGGATGAGGACGATTCCCAGACTGCGGATTCGAAATACGATCGATCTAGCGATGCTTTTGGTCTCGAGAGCTCTCTTACGAGCCCAAGGAGCGATCGGGATACATCTGCGACATCGCAGAGCGTTGCAAGCATGAACTACCCTAAGCCGAACTTACCAAATGTAATTGAACTGCAAGAAAAGGTCTCTGAATTGGAAGCAAACCTTGAATCAAAGGATGAGGAATTGCGCCAGATCAAGAGTCACAATGAAGAATGGGCCCTGACAAAACAAGATCTGGAGAGGAAACTCGAAGAGGCAGAAAACTTGAACAAGTCACTGAAGGAGGAGATTGAGAAGCTCAGAGCCGAAACCCCACACTACAGTGGTGAAAATGTCCTGTGGAAGACCAAGTTCCTGAAATTGGACCAGGACCATGGGCTCCTGCGAGAACAGTTGGCGCAACAACAGCAGTTGACAGAGGAAGTCAGCAGACAGGGTCAGGCATACCTTCAAGAGATGAGGGCTATGGCGGAATCTGGTGGAGGCAACCTTGAACGAGAAGAGAAGCTGCAGGTCGATGTCCAGAAGCTGGAAGAGGAAGTAAAGAGCTGGAAATCCCGTTACGTGAAAGCCAAAGCACAACTTCGCAGCGTCCGTGCTAGCTCGCTGGGACTCAGTATCGCCCGACCTGACGCTAGTCAACACGCAATTGCGCTTCAGGACCGGGATGGACTGGTCAAGGATGTCCACGTCACCAAGTTCCAGATCGCCATTGATGAGCTACTTCAAATTGCCAGATCTGACAGTCCCGCAGCTGTGCTCGACCACATGAAAACGGTGGTGTTGGCCGTGCGTGGAATCACGTCCGACATTGACGCCGGGTCATCAACAGAAAAGGACGATGAAATGGCCAAGCGACGGGCCAAGCTCAAGACCAAGGTCTCGGCTACAGCGAACAACCTGATCACAGCTTCCAAGAATTTTGCTTCATCCAATGGACTCTCACCGCTGAGTCTTTTGGACGCGGCAGCTTCACACTTGACGGCAGCCGTTGTTGATCTCCTTCACACCGTCAAGATTCGTCCCACACCCGCCGGGGAGTTGGAAGATGACGATGAACCGACGTTAGAACCGCTGCAAAGTAATGGATATTTCAACATTGCCGAGACATTAAGAAGGCGGAGTGAAGTCGAAAGCATCTATAGTGCTCTCAGCACGCCGTCGGCGACGAGGAATGCGCACAATCGAGCCGGATCAGGTCTTCTTCAGCGCAGTGCGTCGACTTACGTGAATGGCACCGGACTAGGTATCAAATCGGAGTATGGGACGACGCAAGAGGAGGCTGATCTCGAGGATCTCAAGGTAAGGGCGAGTACAGACAGGAGGGAAGAACGGTGCTAACCAAGAGTGCACAGATGTACCTCGAAGATCAGACTGATGGATTAGTCCAATCCATCACCTCTCTGGTCGAAACCATCCGGAAGGACGATGCCATGGCCACGATCCGAAATCACATGACCACAATCTCTGCCACGATTGAAAACATTGTCAACTCGGTGGAGAGGACTGGGAACGAGCCATCCTCATACCAGGCCACATTAAGAGAGAAATCAGGCCCGATTGTCACCATTCTACGAGACTGCCGAGAGCAAATGTTGCAGGCAGGCAACGAATCTCCTGAAGACAAGGAATTTCTGCAGCAACTTCCTCCTCTTTCCTTCAAGATCGCGCGCGAGACCAAGGAACTCGTATCAAGAGTTATGGCGGTTGAAGCTGGACCAGGGAAAGGCGGCGAGGATGACTTTAGCTAAGGGCTCATGCTTGTAGTTCGGCGCGGGAAAAGCATCCTTCACATATAGTCATGGATCATCAGACACCCAAACAGGTAGTAATAATGCAATGCATTGTCCGGACCAAAATGTCCAAAGGAATATGCTGTAAGGCCCCTTTTCCATCGTGTCCAGTCAGCGTGTTGATTGGCCGGAGACGAGGATAAAATTTCCTGCCAGTGGGTACCTAAGGAGGCCAGCTAAGAGTACCTAGGTAGTAACGGGGGTATTTTAAGTAGTTGTCTTCCCATCCAGCAAGCTCTCCAGCTCGATCTCCAACTGGACGTGCAAGCTCGTCTTTTCGGCATCCTATTGTACAGTATTTTGTGTATCATCATTTCGGCATACCCGGCGGGGATAGTATTTGTTGCTGACGGATAGACATTCCCTTCCCTCGGTCGTGAGGATTAGACATTGGCCAGGCCAACATCCCAGCTCTCGTCTTGTGAAAGCTGGTTACCCGTACTCGGTCCCTGCGCAAACAGCTTCCTTCGGTTCCTGTTTGAGCGTTGTTTTCGTCGTCGTTGTTGTTACACAAGCACCTGTCTTGGGAAGACAAAGAAGTCGGTGACAAGCTGGTGAGTATCTCGTTTGCGTCACAGCTTTTGCACTGCCGGAGACCTAGGTATTGGGTTGGAGAAGATGGCATCCGCTTGGACATGTGAAGTGGGCATGGGTGGGCTGACTGAATCTTTTGCACAGCTTTTTTTGCCTTTTCCACGATCACGTGCCGCTTCCACCACCACCCGTAGCATTCCAAGGTTCCAGGTTGACACCCACGGCCGCCACTGCGACTTCACTGCCACTGCCACAGCACTACCGAGAACCAGCCAGGCAGGCGTCCTCCCACCTTCCACCTTCCGGGTACCGTTTTACGCTGCACCACCTGGCACCCACTGGCAGTCACTGGCACCAACCGTACCACGCAGGCGCAGATCACCCCTCATTGGAAAATCAGCCATGTCGCTCCCCCGCCATGCTGTCAGTTCCTTCAAATTTCGACATACTTTATTAACCCCGCCATCCTCGTCTTCCTTTCGTCTTCAACAGCATCCCTCTCATCGTCTTTCATCCTCACCAATCTCTTTCGCCAGACTCTTCTCCTCATCCCCTGCAGCCATGGGCAAGACCGCTTGGTTCGAGGTCGAGTGGACCGACGCGGATCTCGACAAACGTAGAGCTGATGCCAAACGCGCTGGACAGACTCCTCCTCCTCGTAAGTCACCTTTCCTTTGGATCACGTCTCTCTCTGTCGCCACCGCTACCCGACTGCTCGTCATCATCACCGTGGGCGTTCATCGTCTCAACTGCCCGCTCGACTGGACTGTTGGCTAACCACTTGCTCTCACTTACAGCTCACCGAGGTAGGATCAACTTCAACCTCTACGACGATGTAGTCCCCAAGACCGCCGAGAACTTCCGTGCCCTCTGCACTGGTGAGAAGGGCTTTGGCTACAAGGGCAGCTCCTTCCACAGAATCATTCCTCAATTCATGTTGCAAGGTGGTGATTTCACCCGAGGCAATGTCAGTGGCTGCCCGACCGATGGAAAGATGGTGGAATGACAGACATTTTACTGACGTACATGGTTAGGGCACTGGCGGCAAGTCCATCTACGGCGAGAAGTTCGCAGACGAGAACTTCAAGAAGGCTCACACCAAACCGGGAATGTTGTCCATGGCCAACGCTGGTCCTAACACGTAAGGAAGCCCCTCTCCATTCGTCGTCCCTTTCTGTCCGCTCGTGAATTGGAATACTGACATGGATGGCTTTCCACAGCAACGGTTCTCAATTTTTCATCACAACCGTTGTCACCTCGTGGCTGGACGGCAAGCACGTCGTCTTCGGTGAGGTCGCTGACGAACAAAGCATGAAAATCGTCAAGGCACTGGAGGGAACTGGTTCTGGCTCTGGCCAGGTTAAGCACGAGGTCAAGCCAACCATCGTCGACTGCGGCGCCTCTTAGAGTACTACATTGGCGGTCTTGGAATGGCAAACTCTGGTCAAGAGTTCAATTTGCAGGAGGCCAAAAGTGTCAAGAGTCCAATTCAGACAAGCATGAGCAGATCATGTCCACAAGAACGTGCTTTGCCACAGACAGCTACAGCGCCAGCATAAGTAGTAGGCATATGAAAAGTTGATCATCTCTATTTCATCCTGAGCATCTGTCCTGTTCTCCGGTCGTCTCCATCGACTGCCTGACAGGCTCTCCGAGTGCTTATCAAACGTTTGTGCCCGTCAACCCGTGCTTCATTATGCTCCAGCAACAGCCAGGATTGTCGGTACTCGCCCACTTCAACAGGACTGCTCCTTGGAACCCAAATTGCTAACCCTTTCGGTCGACTGGAAGTTTTAGGAGTCACCTCTCAAAGCAATCGGAAATTGGCAGTGTGGAGTCCAACCGAGCTCATCCGACAAAGGTCGGTTCGGACAAAGGTTTATTCGTTTCTTTCCCTTCTCTTTTCCCAGCAAACCCAGATCCATATTTTCTCGGTCCTTGCCACCATAACCACTACCGTAGGTGTCTAACTCGCATCTCTGCCATCATCAGTAAGCGATCGTATCAGATCTGCGTCCTTCAGCACGTGTGGGAAGTATTTCTCGAGTGGTCAATATTACATATTGGGCCTGTGTCAAATGCGGAAAGGGGGGAAAGGGTTTGTGCTATTTTGGCAGGCAGTATTCACTCCACTCAATGATGGTGAGCTCGCAAAAGAGTCTGCTAAAGGCAAGATGTAAATACATACTGTTTGTTGAAAAAGTCTGCTTCAGTCGTGTGAGGCTCGCCATTGCCTGAACCATCTGTGACACGGGTTCTTGTTTTGGATGCTAGGGTGATCAGCAAGATCACAAATGTGGCAGCAGATGTGCGACGTGCAGAGCAGAAGTAGACGTGGAGATAGCATGTCAAAAAGATGCTGATCGAAGGATTATGGACAAGGGTTGGTTCCGCCAAAAAGTCTCAACCGTGATCCGGTCCAATATGAGCACGATATGTTCTTTTCGACCAGGCCAGCAACTCCTGGCTCCCTCCTCTATATGACGGTGTTGGACTGGACGAGAAGCTCGTCTGGGCAGGGGTAACAGCTCCCTCGTCCGAGGCCAACACAGGGCCTGCCTTGTCTTCTTAATGCGCTCCGATCTTTGTCTCAACTCATCAACACTATAGCTCAACATGGTATCGATATTGCTGGTATAAATACAATCAAAATCATACTCGTGTGAATAGGCTGGCGGCTGGCAGTTGACACCTATTCTACGCCAATACCAACTGGCCAAGAGTCAATCCTCGCCAGGGCAAGTCAAGAACGAGCGAAAAGACCAAAGGTAAGCGTCCTTGTGTGCGGATATGAGGCATTTCCTGTGTCTGTTGCCGGGTCCAAAGCTCCGGCATCAATTCCTGGTCGATTGAGATAGCCTTCTCCCGCCGCTGGCTATACCCCTTCCACGTCTGCCGTGCTCTCGGCTCTTCTTGTCTTCCCTATTTTCTTCAACATTCATCATACTCCCGCTAAAAAATATCATCACACACTGACCAATCCCCCTCTGCTCTCTTCTTCCAGTACAATCCGTTGTGCTCCCAATAAGTTTCCCCAGTGGTGGGGTCGACCTTTTTCTCAAACCATTTGGGTTTCCATTCTTCACCCGCAGACTCACGTTGACGGCGCGCGGCACGCTGTTTCTCCTCGACACGATTCTTCTCCGTCGCAGCAAAGTCGTACTCTCCGTCTTCCATGGCACGTTGATCTGGACGTAGGCGGGTGTCGGTAGGAGGGAGGTGCGGTCGGAGTGAGTCGCTGACAGCGTTCAGAGTTACGACAAACGGTGTGAGGTTGAAAGGGATTCCCTGCGGACGTTTATGTGCTTCCCAGACGAGGAAGGCCTGCTGTCTGTCGGATTGGGTTCCTCTTCCCACGCCGGTGTGGAGGCGACCTTCTCCTACTGCTTCGTCCTCGAACCCCTCTGTAACTCGAGCGTAGATCTTGTCGTTCCACCTGCCACCAATACTCCATTTTGTGACACCATCGACACCCATGACCTTACCAAAGACTTGGTACGCGGAACTGGCCTTCCATCCGCGTTGTTTGAAGTCAAGGATACAGACTTCGCCCGTTGTCCAGTTCTTGATCTCCATGGTGCCATAATTGTCCACTGTGGGGTTGCCAGTAATGATGCCCACGACGGAACTTGTAACCTTCTTCCACGTATACAGCTCTGGTTGACTTCCATCTGAAGGGCGGAGGCGCAAGAACCATGTTCCCAGTGGGTTGATGTCGAATGATTTGCCGTAAAACTTTGACTTGACAGCCGACTCACCCCAATAGTCCCACCGTGCAGATTCCGCATACGCAGCGCCAATGGGAGGATGATGGCTAACTTGCTCAATGAAGAATCGATAGCCTTTGTCGGGACGGACGTACTCATATGTCTCACCCAGGAGAGGGTTGAATGGCTTTGCAACGCGTCCGATTGTGCTGGCGTATTCCGATGCTGCAAACGCAGCTACGTACACAAGACGCTCGGTAGCATCGGGGCGATCTGCTGCAATGTCGAGGAGATCCGCATATTCCATGTCTTCAGCAACACGCTGGAGAAGGGAGGTTGGCTCGTTGAAAGATACCGGCAGGGTCATCTTGGTCATATCTTTGCCTATCATAGACTTAAGAATGCCCCAGAGTGAAATCTTCGGACGATTGTCGGCGTCAAGTTTTAATCGCTCGCGAACTCCTTCCTCATAGCCAGCGTAAGAGGGCTCAATTGCCATTTGTTTTCTGGCTCTTTCATCGACGAAGGGTTCTTGTTCTTCCTCCAAGGATGATGGGACATGCACTCGCGGAGGACTGAGAAGAGGTGGTTCGACCACCTCAACTTTGCCTTCGCCAATGGCGTCGAAGAATTCTTCATCATCTCCAGATTCGGAGTCGGAGAGATTTGTTAATTGCGCAATGATTGATTTTCGTCTGTTGCCATCTCTGGTGACGGATTTCCGGCGTGATCTTGTTGAGATTTGAGCCTCTACTCGGAGATCCAGTTGATTCTCAACCGCTTCTGCAAATTGGACGTGGTCTGGCGATTCTTGTTGGACCATTGAGCCCGGACGGCTGGCGGGCACCGATTGTCCCTCGAGAGCCTCCTTCAAGGCCCGCTTCGTACGCTTGCGCTTGTCCTCTGACTCGGCGATTGACCTCTTAAGATCTTCGTGCTCATAAGCAATCTTGGCCATGCTTTCTTCCCACATCCTCCGAGCATCGGCGTCTCGGTCTAGCCGATATTGCCAATAAGCATCACGGTCTCGAGCAATCTTTAGCAGATCTGCAACCAAGCCATTCAGGCTGTTCACGGCTGTTTGATAGGTAAGGAGAGCCTGTGCGACATCTGGATCGGATAGAGTGGTGTCCGCCTGAGATGACTGCCTGGCGATCAACGCATCGGAGACTCGTGCCAGAAGATCTAGTTGCAACTTGGCGGATTGTGCGGTGATGTTGAACGCGTCTTTACTTCCCGGCTGGTGTACTTCATGACTGCTGGCGTCATCGCCGTCGGCATCTTCTTCTGCCTCGATATTGGCCCCAACATTGGTAGGCACTCTCTGAAGGTCTTCGCCTTGAAGGCTCGCGTCGTACGAGTCGTACCCTGATCCACCTTCCACATCGGAACGGAAACTTACCTTGGAAGAGCTTCCTGCCACTCCCAGCGGCTGGGCAGGTAGTTTCGATCTGCTTGTCGTCGCGCTGAGAGTTTCTGATGTATCGGTGCGGGCGTGTCGAAAGCTTTCGCTGTCAAGGGTGCGCCGTTTCTCCTCTTCCTTTGCTTCATCCTTTGTGAACTGGATGGCATTGTTGAGGGCCCAAAACCATCGTTTGGCCTCTACGACATGGTTGGCCTTCAAGTGGTACTTGACCGAGGACTTGCCGTGAATCTCGAACCTCGTCTTGTCTTGCGGATCCATGTGGAGTTTTGCGATGCGCATGTTGATAGCTCCTCGACAGGCCGAGCCAGCGTCATCTTGATGCTTGTAATAGCTGAGAACTCCTTCTTCGAGAACAAACCACCGTAGTTTATACCCACTCGTATAATTTGTCCATTTCTTGAGATACCCCTTCATCTCTCGAGCATCCTTACTTGCATCAACAGGTCCAGTTCCGGACCTAACTTGCGACGGATTGTTTCCCAGGATTGCCTTTTCCTGTATTCCTCGCTGAGCAGCGGCGGCTGCGGGCGACTTCTTCAAGATTGCCTTTGTACGATCATCTTGGGTTACATGCTGCGGGAGCCTCCCTTTACGATCCCGACGAAAAGGATCTGCTCCGTGCAATAGTAAGATTTGCGCCAACTGGATGTCCTTCTTGCGTGCAGCCTCGTGCAGGAGCGTTCCGCCGCTCTGAACTGTTGCGGGCTCAGTTGGCAACTCCAACGCATTCACGTCGAGAGTGCCCTCGACTCGAGGCTCTGTTAAGATGGATTCGAACTTCTTGTAGTCGCCTTGGACCAACGCGGCATGTATTTCCTTAATCTTGTCATCCAGGAAAATTGAACGCGCTAACTGGAGCTGTTGGAAGATCTCTGGAGTTCGCGCGAGGTCAATGGGTAGTTTTCCTTGCCTGTTCGGTATGGCATCATTTATGTTGGATACCTCCAGCAGGTCTCGGACTACAGGCGCCCGGCCGAGCTGAGCGGCCAAGTGCAAAGCGGTATTTCCTTCTTTGTCCTGTGCGTTGATGTCGAGGCCTTTGCCTTCTTTTAAAACCTGTTCAACCACCTGAGGTTCTGCGCACTGGATGGCCAGGTGGAGTATTGTCGTGCCCGGAATGGGTTGAGGATTTGAAGAACAGGGTATGGATTCGCTGATGGCTTTGGAGATTGCGGCAGTGTCCTTGCCTCGGAGAACTTCAAAGACTCGAAAGGTGCGGACAGAGTCCTCGATCGAGGCTCCCTGGCCGGACGAGATGCCTGACGGGACGGGGTGCGTGTGCTGGGCCGAGTCTGGTTCCCTAGAATATTCGTTCGACTCCATGGCCAGCTGAGAGTTTCTGGTGGTAACCGGAGACAAAGGACTCAATCGCGGACCATCGACCGGAGTCAAGGGGGACGTCGAGGAGAAAGGTCCAGTGGTGGAGGTGGAGGTGGTCACAGGCGACTCGGTATCTGAACTGGTTTCTCGAGGAAGGTTGTCGCTGCGCAGGAGGTTGAGGACTCTGGCGCTCTTGGAGCGTTTGTGGGCAGGTCTTTCTGTCATATCAGCATTGACGGCGGGGGCAGGAGAGGATGATGAGGAAGCGGAAATGGAGAGAAAGTTAGATGCGAGGTTAGAAATCCACTTACATTGCCAGATGGATGGGCGAAGGCGACTTAGTCGATTGCTCCCTGCGTTTCTGGGGGAGGGATTTCATCTTTCACCCCGCCATTCCTCGTGATGATTGGTGAGTTTGTGGCCGCAATGGATTGCGACAAGGCCGATCAGCCAAAGAGTCGAGCGTATGCACAATGACGAAGGGAGCAACGGCAGAGCTCTAGCGGCGGGCGACCTGAAGCGTCGGAAGAGTTCAAGCTCTTTTACTCGGTACTTATGCAGCTCTGATCTTCCCCGGGAAAAGGCAAACAACAGGTGCTTCGTCGGGTCTTTCCAGACTATACAAAGAAGGGCGGCAGCCAGGTAGCAGCGAGAATGAAGAGGACAGTCTTATGAATAAGTATGCAATATTCGTGGCGAGGATAATGAGAGGGCAATACGCAATACACTGGTAAGCGGTTTTCAGTGGGACACCGTGCACCAAACACCGGACGTCTTGACTACTGAACAAAGAGCCACCCCAGCCACCATATCGAGCGCGTCCCTGGCTCGAGCTTGCCATCCTCCATTATCATCTCACACACTTCCCAATTCGCATTTGCCGCCTAGGCGACACCCATTAAAGGATTGGATAGGACTCCGGCCCTTCCTCAATCCTCTCACACTCGCAATGGCTCCCACCCTCGTCATTGGTCTTCCTGCCCGCAAATATTTCTAACCCGCCGACCCGCCTCGCGTATAGACCTCGTTCGTCAGACCGGGGCTTAGCTACCTAGGTACCGGGAAGACATGCGAGACACCTCGATTGTGGCAGAGGTCTCGGATCTCGCGTTGCGCGAACCCGAAAATTGGTCTACAAACATTATGAATCTGCCAGAATCATTATGGGACGCTGCATCAAACAAGCGAATAATTATCTTCCCGATCTATGCAAATCTTCCAAGGGTCTGCTGATCAAGCTGTAAACATTTTCTTTTCGTGTCCGAGGCAATTCAAGCACTTCCTCATATTTCGTCTACCCAAGCAAATCATCCAGGCCATTACCCAAAGGTGTGCTGGGTTTGGGTTGTCCCGAGGCAGTAGGCCTTTGTGTCGTCGAGCTCGCGGCTGATGCCGCTCCCCAAATCCCCGCTTGGCTTTTTGCCTTAGCCATGCTCGCTAGATCTGGTCCCTTCTGCGGTCCAGTGGTGCCTTTGACTCCTGCTTTGCTACTTGCGCTGCTCCAGAGGTCTCCGAAAGCATCCCCACCTTTACCCGCGACTGGTTTCGATGCAGGTTTGCCGAGTGATGCTGCAGAAGTGGAGGACGTGTATGAGGGAGTCGCTCCGCCAAAAGGCGTTGACGAAGTCGATGTAGCAGTCGGTTGCGAGCTTGTCGACATGGGGACGGAAGTAAAATAGTTCGGTCCAGAAGATCTGAATCCAGTAGGTTGTAAAGGCTGAGCAGGCTTTTGCGCCGGTGGAGGTGAAAATGTTGACGCAGTTGGCGACATTACTGAGGAAGTCGCCGATGGCGCTGGAGATGCAGTTGAGAAAATGTTGTTGAAACCAGCAGTCTGTCCAGGAGCCACTGGCTTTGGAGCCGCAAACTGTGTGGCCGAGGTCGTAGTTGAGGTGGTCGGTGGAGGAGCAATACCAGCTAAGGGATTCGCCACAGGCTGTGTCGCCGCCGGACTGGTCGCAGATTGAAAGTCATCAAAATCGTCGTCATCGTTTGCTGTGCTGCTCTGTAAGCCACCAAAATCATCCAAGCCGCTTGACTGAGCTGCTGGTGCCTTGCTGTTCGACTGATTCGTCGCAGTCTGTTCGTCGCCGAAATCAAAGAGATCTTGCTCCGGTTCTTTCGGCTTAGGCGGATCTCGTTTTGTGGTCGTTGTTGGTGCCGTTGTACGTGTGGTGGTGCTTCTTGTCGGTCTTGTGGTCTCGAAGTCGTCTGCCTCGTCGTATTCCTCAAATTGTTCACCACGACGCTGAGTGCCCGAATAGTCGGTGTCGGTGTCGCGACCACCAAAGCCTCCACCGTCGCCGTAGACCTCGCCCTGGTAGCCTCCAAATCCACCAGTCTCGCTGCCAAAGCCACCATATCGACTACCACTGGAGAAGCCGCCACCCATTCCCATTCCGCCTTCTACTCCTCCGTATTTGTGTCGGTTTGCGCGCGCTTTCTTCCGCTCCGATCTGATTGTATCAACATCACTCAGTAGTTTCACCAACTCCGCAGAACGGTTGCGGACATTTACACCCTGGTCTTTGCCGTTTGGGTCGATATAATGGAACTGGCGGAGCATTCGGAGGAGGGATAGGTGTGATCGAGCATCGTCGATGACTCGCTCCGAGCCATTTTTGCAGAGAAACTCGAGGAGTTGCAAGGCCTGCTCCGGCGTGAGCACGCTGATCATTCGACGTAATTCTAGGCCCGTACCTTGTATATTTGCCTCCACTCTTCCGCAGTCTTGTCTGTAAATCGTTTGTAGATCATAGGCATGATTTCGTTCAGTTGTTGGCTGGGGCAGTCAGCTTGTGAGTCCAAAGTGCAGGGGTGCGCGGCTGACTAGTTGTGTGTGCCTTGGGCGATTTCCTGCATGAGACTCGCAGATGCTCCCCATGGGTCTCCGTTTGTAGCTTCTCGGACCTGATGAGAGAGTCAGACCCATGTCGAAGAACTGGTTCAGGGGAGAAGCGGCTCACCTTGGCCTCCATCTCGGTCAAGTTCATGACGGCTTCGTAAACGTCAACATCTCTCCTAGCACGCAAGGAGATCGACATACCATTCTGAACCTTGCGGACACCGGCTTTGATGTCGTAAAGGGTCAAATTGCTAACCTGGTTCTTCAGGCTTTCGAAGTCCATCTTTACTGGCGGTGGGCGTGATATTGGCAAGGTCGGGTGGACGGGAGATAGAGTCGGGAAGTGGCAAAAAGGCCTTGCCTCCAAGAGACAGCTTATGAACCACTCGGTTTGCAGTGTAAAGGCGAAAACAGGTGAGAGGAATTTGTTTCCCTGGCGTTGTGATGCCAGATAATCTGTACCGATTGAGGGTCCGCAGCCTCAATTGCTGGTGGACGGTTCAACCAATCATTGCGCAGCCGATGTCCCCGAGCAAGGACTCATCGACTCCAACCATATTAATTCCCAAGTTTATTATTGAAACGCGTCCTCAGTGCTCGTGATTCGTGATCCGATCAGCGTGCAAAATCCTCCTCTCCGTTGCTTTGTGTGGTGATGAATCGACACTGAGGTAGTGTACTGTGCGTCACCTTTGTCAAGGGACTTACTCGGTCGGTAGCACTGGATATACTCTCGAAAGTGGTAGTTCGAAGGGTTTTAATGTGTGATGTCTCCACCAAAATTCAGCTTGTCTACTGGGGTATCGATCTCGAGGATCAGGGAAAGCGAGAATGTTTGACACCGACCAAATCAGCGGGGACACACCACCTCTTCCACCGTCGTCTACCAAGGCATTCCCCTGCAAGAGCCCGACGAACACCCGAGCGGATACAGGCTGGAAATGAAGAGGTGTATTCATGAGCTTTGGATTTTGCAGAGAGAGAGGAGTGCTGAACGGCACATAGCTGACGCTTGGGATAGCACTAGTCCTCTGATTGATAAAGACGAAGAATCACCACTCTCCAGAAAGATGATACTCTATCAGCATGAAGACCACTTCGATCCTGACAACGGACAGTTTTCGCTTGGAAGCAAACGGAGAGACATTTTCAGAGCAGGTGACTTCCTCTTTGGACTGCCTCGACAGGTAGAGTCAGGAAAAGGACGCTCGACGCCGTCCGCCGGACATCAAAGCGACTCGCTCTATATTGATGCTTGATCCTAAACCAGACAGGTCAGGAGTACATGCCCCCATTTACCCAACAAGTAAACCATTTAGGTACGCAGGCACTGGTCCCTCTTGACTGGCGGCATGGCTTTGAGAATGCGTGGTATTAACCTGCTAGATTACCGAGACGTGGTGCCGGAATTATCGGCGTCACTGTGTGCGGGCAAGCCACATCAGTTAGTATACCTTGCCTCTGTAAGGCCGAGCTTACTGAATATTGCGAAATTCTCGCGATGAAGAAGCTTTCGTCGCGTCTTCTCGGCAGAGCCACTGCATCAAATTCCTGTGCACAATGTGTCATGGCGGCAATATGGCAGGAGTGGAAAGCATGGCCCCAAGGGTTCGAGGTCTCCTCTCTACCTTTTTGGCATCCACTAACAGGACCATGCTGATGCGCAACAGAGACTTGCTCGGTGGCTTGTCATAAAGAAGGAGCAAATACAAACTAGAGCGTCGAAGGACTGAAGCACATGATGCGCCTGCCATTGTGTTAAAATGATACGAAAACAGACCTACACCCCCGTGCATTGCGCAAGACTCCAGCATGCCACCCTTTTCTCCAATGCAAGGACCACGCCTTCGGGTCAGCCCACAATCAAGCGCGGCGATGCGATTCGTGCACCTGGCGGCCTGGGTATTTCCCTTGATCATGCGGGATGCGAGCCGAGTTCTCGCCATCGGTCTTTACTCCAGAATACTATAGTCGGCATGACTGACCGAGGCCCCCCAAGGTGAAGTTGTTGCAATCAGACAGGATGTGTGTTTCCAGGTCCTCGCAGGATGGCTGAATACCTGCGCCCCACGTGGTCGTGGCCGTCTGCCCTTTGCCTTTCGCCTCGCTTCCAAACGAGCTGAATAGCCCTTGGCTGCTAAGGAAGCAGCAAGCGACGTCGACCCTGGCGTTTGGTTGGACATTTTTGCAGACCCCTTGGTAGGCTACTGCTGGCACCCACCCAGGGCGATAGCCGAAGAGACTTCTGCTAAGTGGAAGACTAGCAACTTGTCCATCAGGAGATTTCGACCCAAATTCCATGTCTTCAGGCTAAATTCCAACCTCGATGTTTTCCATGGGCCTCAAGGCCCGAGGTCTCTTTCAACTCGAAATAATTCCGCGTGGGGAAACGAGCTTTGTGGAGCGAGGCTAGCGCTCGAGGCTACTAGTCGGAGGGAGGTCGAGCGGGCAAAATCCCCATTTCCCCAGATTGCACCAGCTGCAAGCTCACGCGTCTCGGACATTCTGCTTTTCCTTCGACCATCAGGTCATCAAGACGAGCTGGCATTCCACACGAGCATGGTATTTTGCCTCTATCTATCGCAGACAAGCTTCTCATGCCACTCTACGAGTCTTTTAGCCACTTACCGCCCGCCTTAACTTTTGGGACAGCGTCTCTAACACCGAAGAAGGCGCCACAACCCCGGCTGCTCTCGCCATCGGCCCATCCCGTCTATCCCCGATGGCGAAGGGTTGTCTCAACAGTCAAAGACCTCTCGACCGAAGAGCCTATGAACGATTCCGCGTTCTCTCACGTACCGTCAATCGGGCCCAGAGAACGCTTTAGCCTAAATACTATCCGCAAAGCACATCCTAGGCTGTTGCAATTAACCCCCGGAATGCTTCTACGGAGACTCTCCGGACGCGGCAGTTCGAAGTGTGGGGGAGATCGTCGACTGGGCTGTCTCGAATGCTTGATATGTGCGCAAGATAGACGTGATGGAATCCCTCGAGCAGATGAATCGGTTTCTAGTTCTCAGTTACTCTTGCAAGTCCGTTGAGAGCACTGCCCGAAGCAAAAATGGCTCCCCAGGAGCACCACATCGTCGTCGGGACGAAGCGAGGAGACACAACCATTGACGTGCAGAAACTGTTGGACAAGCCCTGGTACAAGTACAAGCATCTCAGAAAGCTCTATGGCTGGCTCTGTGTGGTGCTTATCGTGCAGGCCACAAATGGCCTTGACGGCTCTATCATGAACGGAATGCAGACTTTGACCTACTGGGTATGTTTCGTCCGAGAGTCGTTCCATCGTCGTTGTCAACCCTGACTTCTCCCCGGCTATCAGCCTAGCTGTTGCTAATTTTGAGGACAGCAATCCTACTTCCACCACCCGACGGGCGCTCAGCTTGGTATCTTCAATGGGACGCAGGGCCTCGGCGGCGTCATTTCGCAGTTCTTTCTGTGGTGGCTCGTCGAGAAGATCGGTCGCAAGCTGACCATTGTATCTGGAGCCGTCATAATCATCATAGGTGTCTTTCTACAATCCTTTGCGCGAGGAATCGCCATGTTCGCAGTGGCGCGCTGTGTCATCGGACTGGGACTGAGTTTCGAATACACGGCCGCCCCAATGCTTGTCTCCGAGCTTTCGCACCCGACCCACCGTGCCCAGTTGTCAACGCTGCTCAACACCCTATATTACTTCGGTACGGGTTCCGCGGATACGAAACTTCTGGCGTTTGCTGATTTAAGTTCTCAGGTGCCACCATTGCAGCGTGGATCACACTCGGGACCCTCTCCATCCAGAGCGACTGGAGCTGGCGCAGTGTCTCGTTGATTCAGATGTTCCCGTCTCTGATCTCGGTCACTCTTACTTGGTGGGTCCCCGAGAGCCCGCGCTGGCTCTGCTCACGAGGCCGAAACGAAGAAGCGTTCAAGACCCTGGTTGACTGGCACTGTGGTGGCAATGAGGCCGATCCACTTGCTACCTTCGAGTATAATGAGATCGTGCAAACCCTGGCTTTCGAGAAGGAGAATGGCAGCAGAAGCTGGCTCGACCTTGTTCGCACGCCGGGCAACCGCCACCGAACTTGGATTGTGGTGACCTGCTCGATTCTTAGCCAGGCCACCGGGCAGACCATCATCGGCTATTACCTCGTCTTGATCCTGAAGGGGGTCGGCATTACCAACCCCCGTCACCAGTCTATCATCAATGGCTGCCTTACAATGTGGTAAGTGTCAAGTATCTTAAAAACGCGGTGCATCGAAGGAAAGTTGCTGACAATGACTCGCAGGAACATGGGATGGGCATTTTGGGGCGCATATGTGATTGACAAATTCGGCCGTCGAGCCATGCTCTTGACCTCCCTGACCGGCATGCTGTTTTGCGGATTCTTGCCGTGGACGATCTGCAGCGCCTTGTACGTCCAGGATGGAGTCAAGGATGCCGGCCCCGCGGTCATTGCATTCATCTTCATCTTCAATGCCTTTTACGCCACGACCTGGAACGGTATCTTGACCGGATACACGGTCGAAGTCATGAGCTACGACATCCGACCGAAGCTCATCTGCACCCAGAACCTGCTTGTTCAAGCGACCATCACCGGCTTCAACTACTTGGTAGGTCAAGTCTGATTGGAAGAGGAAATTCCGCACCCCTGGGATTTTTAGATGACTGACGACGCCTGTTGAATAATATAGAACCCTGTAGCCTTGAAGAACATCGGCTGGAAATACTATGTCATCATAAACATCATCATCCTGCTCACTATGGTGGTCGTGTACTTCACGTATCCCGAGACCTCCAAGATCACGCTCGAGGAAGTCAGCGTCATCTTCGACGGCAAGCACGCCGTCAAGAACGACATCCTCCAAAAGCAGGTGATCAATGCTGGTGACGAGGACGCTGTAGGCAGCGACGACAAGAAGGGCGCAGTGGAGATCATTGAGCGTGAGCACATTGAATTGAAGTGAAGGGACGGACATTGGGGATGAGAAAATGAAGCCTCCCGGAGCAGCCCTGCCTGTTCGAAACGGGGTACAATAAACAGAACCTTCAAAGACTCGTCTTTTCCCTGGTAGAAGGAAGTCGGTCCGCTGCAGAACAAGTCAGCCAGCCCCTGTGCTACCTCCATAAGGCGGGAGGTTAGCCACATGGTTACGTATATGAATGAGCCACAGAAGTTAGTTCTCTCGAGCTTCTGCGAGGGGACATTTGATTTATGATCATCCTCTTCACGGACATACTGCTTTCTCCTGTCCAGAGACGGAATCTGTGGTGATTCTCTCTGGAGATATGAATACCATATTGGATGAATTTCTTACAGACAAGGGTCACACCGGGGCTGGAAAAAAAGTCAAGAATTCGTGGACGAAAAGAATGCATTGCGGATAAAATGCATTTAATCAGTCTAGTCTCAGATAGGCTTCACTGGACATGTGATATACATCTCTATTGAAATGCTCCCTCTCCGTTTCTGAGTTCTGACCCATCAAGGCCCGAAGACATTTTACTTAATCCCCTATTCACCTTCTATCGGTGGAAATATCTCCTCTCCAACCATCTGAACGGCACATACGTCACGAAAGTAAACGAAAATGCGAGCTCGAATCCGATATCACCACCATACCCAATTCCAATCAGCTTCCCAATGGGACCGATGTACCATACCTGGGCCATCCCCATCGCAGCACCCAACACACCGAAAAGGAATGCGCTCAGGGCAGCAATGCTCGGAGGCAGCTTTTTCGGCTGATCGTAATTCGCCGGGACATAGCCAGAGAACCCGCGCTTGTAGATGAAGTGCTCTGGCAAAGCGATACCTTCGTAGATGGCAAGCCAGTAGCCAATGACCAGCATGAAGTTCTCCAGCACTGACTCGAAATGGTAAAAGCCCGGAATTGCAATGGCGCAGTAAACGACGGTTCCAACGAGCGTCCAAAGGAACCGCGGGACTCTTTGCGCATAGTGCGTAAGGATCTGCAAAGAGAACGTGAGAGAGTAGATGTTGGGTGCGTTGTTCCCGAGCGTCGAAAGAGCCAGAATGACAAGGCAGAATTCCCCGAAGCCGCCCAAACGCGGAACAAGCACCTCATGTAAAAGACCTCCAACGGCATTCTTGTCGTAGGCGTCCGCGTACGCTTGGTTCGTGGGGATCGCCGTTGCAATGGCCACGCCCAGCATCTGGGTGAAGCATAGAGGGAACATAAGCCCGCAGAAGACGTAGAAGAAGACCTTGGTCCGCGGCGTGTCGACAGGTTGATAGCATGTGTAGTCGCTGGCGTAGGAAGCCCAGCCTGTGGCGAACCCGAATATCGAAGCAGCAAAGGACAAGATAGACCCTGCCTCGCCTTCGCCACTACCCATGGGAATGTTGACGAAGTCCCCTCGATGAGCAAACTCACCCAAGGTGATGAGGAAGATAATGAAGCACGGAACCCAGGAGATCATCTCGTACCAGTGCACGACCTTGTAGCCGAACAAAGTGATGAAAAAGGTTCCCGCTGCAAGAATGATAATAGCAGCTGCCGGTGGTACGTTGTCGTTGACTGCGCGCAGGAATTGGGCGCCCACAATGACATTGACAGAAGACCAGCCAAGACACGCCAGACAATTGAAGACCGCGAGGATTTTGACTCCGTAATATCCGAACCAGAATCGCCCCAGGATCATCTGGCGCATGCCGAATCGAGGGCCAAAGGTGGAGAAAAAGCAGACCGGCAAAATACCCAGCAGGTTGATGAAGAAAATCGTAAGCACTGAGTCGACAAAGCCGAGGGCAAAGACGGGAACAGCGAGGACACCAATGGCGAAGGAAGAAACGACCATGTTGGCAGCAAGCCACTGTTTGGGCAGTTAGAAACAAGGCCTGACGAGTAAAGTGACCAGCGGGAGGTAGCATACCATGGTACCAACTTTGAAAGTGCTCTTGTCCGTCCGTTCATCTTCGGGGACTCGCTCAATACCTCGCTGTTCGATATGGAACCGTCCGGCAAGACGTTGCAGCTTTGCATAAGTGGAGTCGCCGACGACAAATGACTCTCCATGGACGGCGCCTGAGTTGTCCGGAGGGAGCACCGAGTGGTGCTTTTCGCCCGAAGTGGCAGGGTACTGGTACTCGACATCATAGCCGCTCTTCTCGTAGGAAGTCATTTTGCCAGAGTCAGGCCCTTGCGGATCGTTGGTCGGAAAGACACAGGACCGGAGAATGGGGGAGAGAGCAGAGGCTCAATGAGTAATGGGCAATGAGATGAAGAAGGGAGATCCGAAGCATCAGACCACTCGAGAAGGCGATGGGAACATGAAGTAATATAGTATAGCATATCTGGTGTGATATCGGCAATTGCCACGAGTGAATCCTGATTGAGATGGAGGGCGCCGTCACTCCAGACGCTGAGACGCCATCGAAGCGACGGGCATCCATCGACCTCGTGTAGCCCCACTGTTCGATCTTCGAGATAAGGGTCTTGGTCTCTCGAACTTGGTCGTCGCACAAACCTGATTCGACCGATTCGGTCGGGACCGACAGGACCCTGGTGTGGGCACGGATTGATCTATCGAGCCATCCCCAGCTTATTCTCAACAGGTATTGCTTGATTTTGTTTCTTCAGCAAGACTGCTCTTCTCAACAGCCATTGGTGGAGAGAGCGAGAGAGAGAGCGTGTGGACGTTGCTTTGGTTGAGAACCACTCTCTAACTCGCGCGCAAGGCCGGAGATCGCCTTCACCTTGAGAGCCAAGGATTGCTGCATCGCACAGCTACCACAGGGTATATTGTCCATATCGAGGAGGACGAGCGTGGGGAGGGGTTTGAAGCGACCAAGGTCCAAGCTGGAAGAGATGGAGAGAAGCCGCCTCGTTCTGGAAGGAGGGCGTTCAACGTGCATCCGAATCCTGGGCGCAGTTTAGACAAACCTTGAAGATACAAAAAGATAAGCAGCTGTGGCAGCGCTGGCCGCCGTCCAATCAAACTGTCCTTCCGTCATGCTTGTTGGTCATGCTTGATTGGCCTTCGCCGCTGGCCGTGTTTATCTGCTGCATCTAGAGCGCATCTAGAGCGCATCTATCGCTTCCGCCATCTTTCTTCTGTGCCAGCTGCGTCTCCTGTGGCTGATTGACAGTGATTGTCCCCCAGTGACGCTGGTGACGCTGGACGCGAACTTGACGTAAACACACACAAGGCAGCACCAGGAGCATCGAGATTGGACCAGACCAGGTTCGAGCTGAAAGGCTGAAACCGCCATGTGGCAGCCCACGCCGCACAACCTCTGTACACATTGCTTCTTGGATTGTACGACGTACGTACGGAGTACAATGGCATCTACCGATTCGGAGTACATGAAATTGTGTTGCACAGCATGCAGGATTCTGATCTAACAATAGACAATAGATTCTGCGTAATTCATCTGGGATATCTATATGTCGAACATACAAGCCATTGACTTCCTTCCATTCCCCCCAGTCGGCGGTAGCCGCAAAGACAGACCAACGCGCTCTCTGAAGACAGCGGATATTACCCGCAAGCTCATATCCCTCCGCCAAGTGACTCCATACCCGCCAGCTCGTTCCCTTGCACATTACTGAAGTTGTAAGGAAAATCCACGATTCCATCCAGCATCCAATTCAACGGGTCAAAAACATCGTAGCTCGCCTGGCCAAAGTCCATGCCTACATCATCGACCATACCAGTCGCCATCCCAGCCATGCCAGGAACGATGGTAGAGTTGGGCAACATGGGGTCATTTACCGTCGACTTCGAGCCTATATTTGATGCCGGTATGATAATCTGATTGTCGGGTTGCTCGAGGGTAGGATTTCGCTGCCTCACTATTATCCAGTCAGCACCAACCGCATACAACAAGGGGCCATCCTTACCGTCAGATGGTTTCCCACCACGGAAATGAAAATTCTGTCGCCATTGCCAAACTGAGTCAAACACCACAGAGATGGACATCCGACACTTGACCTTGAGCTGCAAACTGTCGTCGGGAATGCCTTCCCCAATGTTGTTCCGATCTGGCTCTGCGCGCACTCTTCCGCTTTTCCAAACTTGAGCCAGAACTTCCGATAGGCGCTCCGCGAGATCGTTCTCTACCACACTCATGCTTCTCAATGCCCACAGCGTTCTTGAGAGGAGTTCAGATGCTCCTTTGGCGTCTAGCTCGTGTTCGCCCAGAAAGTTGTGCATGAGTTTGAGAAGGGAAAAGCCAGCACCGAGCATCATGTGGAATATATAGTTCGTAGCATGCGACAACGACAAGCCGTGCGAGTAGCTTGAAGGTAGGTTGACGCTGACGTTGGACTCCAAGCTAAGACATGTCTCGAGGAAATCAGTCGTGGCATAATACAGCTTTAACATATCGACCCGATATGAAGGCAGCGTGGGCGGCGAGAAGAAGGCACTCAATCTCATATGCAAAGCGGCCGCCTTGAGGTATACCTTTGTGATTGGTGATGTGTCCTTGCGTAATTTATCCTCAAGCTCCTCCAGCTCGTGCGCCAGAAATGAGACGTAGGTAGGTCGCTCCGCATCAGCCGCAAGTCCAACGGGATCGTTTGGATTCATGTAGAGCGTCCGGGAGACCTTGTCGACGAATTTTTCTATCAGCAACCGATTCAAGACGGGAGCCGGGAGTTCGTAATTTGGATTTGTCTCAATCGGCTTTGGTCCGAGAGTCCAATCGTAGATGCTGAGAGGTGGCTGCCCATATGCAGTGCAAATTCGTTGCGCGACAATATTGCAAACGCTCCAAACCACCACTCGATCTTGCAGTTCCACTTCTCTAAGTTCTACCCGAAATTTGGAAAAGTCTTGGGCGTGAGTAGGACGATGTAGGCCGATCTGCAGAGCAATCTGCATCATCATCCCACAGAGCATGAAGGTTGGGTCTGTCGATGTACTGCTGGTAGGTAGAGGCCAAGCACACAGCAAGATGAGAGCCTTGACAACGTGATAATTTTGAGGAACTTCGGCAATGGTCGACCAGACAAGCCGCATTACAGGCCCCGTCAGAGATGCAAATAGATCGGGCTCTGGCGTGTAGTGCCGCGCGCCCACTGAAATGATCGTCCAAAACAGCAAAGGTGATCGCGCGTAATATTCATCCGGAGTTCTGTCGGGGTTGAGGAAAGGGAGAAAGGGGTGGTGAAAGGTGAAGAAACGTTGGAAGAGCTCCTGAGCCCGGTCGATGGTCAAGCATACCTCTTCTAGCCGCTTGAAGATAGGTCTGCCTGAACCGCCACCTCTTAAGTCAAGCAATCCCGCAGCGGCGGCATCTGAGGTAAAGGTCCCGTCTGCTGAGGGAGATACGTGCACGTTTGCACTGGAACTTGTGTGAGCCCCATTTGCCACACCCGCTGTCTGCTGTTGTGCAGCTACTTGTTTCCGCAGCTCGATGATCTCGCGCTCCATTTCTGCATTTCGTGATCTCTTGCCAATCCTCTTGAAATTGTCCTCGATTTTGCAATCGAGATTGAGTCGCTTGCAGCGGGTACATGTTTGAAAAGGTTCCTGCACGACATCGCATCGCAGCTATATGGCAACATTATTAGCGGAGACACGCCAAAGGACAGGAAAAGGATTGCGACTGCCCAACGGGACCACGACAGTGACTCGACGCACAGTCTACGAGGGGCAGCAGGAAAGATGGCGGCACCGCCTCGGCGACGATGCGATATCCGCCAGCAGCCCTTGCAGTGTGCATGTAGTCCATTGCGTCAAGGCTCACCTTCTGCTGTCGACATTCATTGCAAGCTCTTTTCACCGGTCTCCGCCTGCCATCCCGCATGTGTTCGTCACCATTGTGATCGGGTGACTCGAAGCTCGCTGGGGAGCTGTCGAAACCGGCCACGGAGGCATTCCTTTTGTGGCTTTGGGACGGGCTGGTATAGGCGGTACCAGCACCATCGCCTGGGCTCGCGGCGGATGTCGAAGCCAGGTTGAAATCGTCGCCAATCTCAAGGCCGATGAGGGTTTGGATTGGGATTGTCCACGCTGCGGTCGCCATCCGATATCGCAATCGAATTTGCTAAGAGATAAGATAAGATGGAATGTCTGCTGCGTATGACGGCTAGAGTTGGAGGCGCAGGAAAATGGGAACAATTCAAATGAAGCGGGTGGGCGTCTATTATTATTGGCCACCACCCCAAGGTCTTCGTGCCGAGAGCACCATCAGACACTCTTTCATACAACCACTCCAGGAGTCCAATGGCCGGCGATGAGAAGAAGAGAGAGCTGTTAAAGGGTCCATTGAAGAAAACGCAATGTCCCAAGGCGTCGGCTCCCACAACGACCATCTACTTCGCCCAACCACAGACCCAAGACCAGCGCGGTGAGGATACTATGAGTCATTTATTCAGCGAATAACATATGGCTAACACACGGCTCACAGTAACCGTTTTCGACTCAAGCATTACGTCGGAGCCGTTTCTCGATTCAGTGGTGCTTGAGAATCTGAGGAAGAGACAGCAGATGGAAAACGAGGCCGAGGGCGTCGGGCACAATACGAGATGAATCATGCATCCAAATCAATTGCTAAATTGCCATTCATCTGTTTCGGCCGTGCTCTCTAGTTATACAGCTCGTCAAATCATCCCAATCATTAGTCGTCAAGACATCAAGTCGTGGCATAAGTCTTTGGTGTCCCCAGTCGAGCAATAAATCAACACGCTGCAGAAAGACCCTCCCAAGCATCCGACGAAAAGAAAATCCAAGGCCGCCAGGGCCAGCAAAGTACATTCGAACATGATATCGTCAAAAACCTGAAATCTCAGAGAAACGCTCGCCCATCAGCACCAGTGCAGACGCGGGACAGCCAGCTCCAAGACGACGATGCCAGGATGGCATTCCGCTGAGAAATTGTCACACGTCGCGCGAAAGGCTCGCATTGCTGGCTGGAAACCTCGAATCCCCTTGCGAAATGACGTAGGCTCCAATGCTTCGTCGCAGATCAGCCCTTCTCCGCTCTCTCTTCTCGTCCTCTTTACGTTGTTTGGCATATAACAGCCTCTCTTGAATATCCTTGATCCCTACCAGGGAAATATGGAATCGTAGTGCCGAGCCTGGCAATTTGTGTAGTTTGCGACCCGCTTGCAACTTGGCCAGGCTGGAATGGCTGGATTGTTTCACGATACTTCTCTTCTGCCTGCGCCGTTCCGATATTCGTCGGACCAGTGAAACGGGACCTGTTATAACCGTCCTCTCCTGCGGCAAGCCTAGAGAATTATTCACAATTCCTCGATCTAGGGACCGCTCCTGAGGTTGCGATTCAGGACGAGCATTATCAATGTCGTCCCAAAAGGCACGCGGCCGCCAGAATGGGTGCAGGCTTCCATCAAGATCCTGATCAGCCTTGCGATTGCGTGCGTTCTTTAGGCTCAAGTTCCGGGAGATGGAGCTCATCAACGATTCTGACCGTCGTCGAGACCCGCCCGGCTGTTTGAGAGATTCTGCTCGATCAGTCTCCAATTGCTTCTTTACTTCCTCGTCGGCAGGAGTGGGTGGGATCAGCTTGAATTGCGGCGGTTCAGGCGGCTGTCGAGGGTTGCGCAATGGTGACTCCACTTCGATCTCTGGCAGGTTCTGCTTTTGTACTTCCTGGACCGCTTTTGATTCTGCTACAGGAAACGGCTCAATCAGCTGCAGGGAATAGTTGTTGTGAGGAAAATAGTTGATCGCCCTTGCTTCGTTGATCTCAGGAGAGCCTGACTGGAATGAGGGCTGTGAGAAGGGCGTATCAAAAATGGACGGTGGTCGCAGTGCTGCCCATTCCTTCGTTCCAGGCATCACCAACCCCAGCGGATTTGATGCCATCTCGCTCTCGCCTGCAGGAACGCCTAGCAGACTCCCAGGCTGCGTAGAAAATGGCGGATTGGCAGTCCCCGAAGACCTCTCGAATCGTTGATTTCCAGCCATGCGTTCAGAATGTTGCATCCCATCTACAGGCTCCCGGTCTCTCAGGCTGTGGACAAGTCGTTCCGACTCCATTCTGTCCAAGGTCTTGCGCAAGTCCTTCTCAGCTTGTTGTCTACGTACGTGCAGATGCTCAGATGTGACGGAATTGGCTCGTGACGTACTTCTGGACGTGGGCGCGGATAGCGAGGAACTACGAGGCGGTATCAGCGGCGCCTGAGATTGCTCCCTGCCACGATCCGAAGACTCAGAAAACGCCCTCTTATGTTGCCAAGAAGAGGGTGGGTTGTCAGAAGTTTTGCGAAAGTGAGAACGTCCCGAACTATTCGAAACCGACTGCCTATGGCTGGTACGAGTCGAAGAGCTCAAGGAGGAGCTTCTCTCTGGGATCACTGCCACGCGAATCACTTCGGTCTTAGGAAGGACAGCGCTTGATGCCAGGCTATATGACCTCGAAACCTCGGAACCGAAACTCCAGCGGTTTTGATTGCTCAATCGTGCCTTCTTGTGAACGAGGCGATGAGGGGAGTCTGAAGCTGAATTCATGGAGGTCCTGTTCGAAGCCGGTAGGGGCGAGCTCACTGAACGTAGAGATTGATGCTTGCTGACATGGCGCAGCGTCGTTTTTCGTCGAGGTAAAGAGTTGTGTTCAAAGACATACGCTTCGACAGTTGAAGTGGTGGAGATCCCGGAGAAACGTCGATTTTCGTCGACTCCTACTTGTCGATCCTCGGCTGCCTCATCATCGATCGGCACAGAGTTGTTCCAACCAATGATGTTTGCAAACTTCTCGGTTGACGCTGACGGATCTTGACTCTGCGCCTCAAGAAGCCTTTCACGCAGACTCTTGTCCCGCTTCAAGTTATGCTGACCAGTACTGTGGCGGACAGGATGAGGTGGTTCGATGCTTTCAGTCAGGGCGACTTGAGGAGGGTCAAGATGTATGCGAATTTCTTCACCGTTCAGGATTGCGTCGGCGCTAGATCCAGACGTTTGGTTTTGGGGATAAACCTCTGGCAAAGCACGACTCTCACCAGCAGTTGCGTGATATTGATCGGCAAAAGGCTCTGGAGACTGACTGACGACAGGATGACCTCCGTAAAGCTCGACCAAAGGCGATCTAGGCAGAGAGCTATGTCGCAGGCGATGGGCAGCTGCGCCAAACTTGTCGACGGAACTCAGTGGCCATTTGAAGCCACTGTCCAGACGAGGGGTAGGGCGATCGGAATCACCTTCTGACGTGAAGTCTTCATGGGCGGTCTTGAAGGATTCTGCGTGCGTGGAGGCGATAGAGGGCTGTGGCCCCAAAAATGGGCGCCGGGGAAGTGTTCCATAACGCTCCCGTGGAGGAGTGTTGTCAGGAGTCGGCGGGCTGTTCTGGTTTATTGGCGTCACCAAATTTGATCTAAACACACCGGCATCTGAAGATGGAGTAACTTCTTCCGCAGCAGGCGGGCTGGACTCAATGTTTGCCCCTGGAGGTGTAGGAGGAAGATTTGGTGAGGTAGGTAACACCGTAGACACAGAGTGGTAAGACTGTTCTTCCGGCTGGTGGTCACCAACGTCTTGGGCCGAGATGCGATAAAGGGTTCGAAGGTTAGTTGAGCCAGCTCTTGAACCGTTGCGAAAGGGCAGAGATCTGGAGGTCGATGGAGGAGAGTGACCTGGGGAATCCCTGACCGGCCCCATTATGGTGTATTCGGTGGTCCTCCCCATCGGAACGCCGATTATGGCATTGAAAGAATCTCAGTAGCTCCTCCTCTTCATTGCGACAGAAGGCCACGGGAGCAGAGTCGAATTCGACGTTGTACCTTATGGCATTGGACGGCGTCTCTTTGATCAGGGGGGCTATTACCAGGAGGCAAACAGGGCGTGTTGTGATTCGAGAAAGGCGGGAGGCGTGGGGAACAGCTGGATGCGTGACGCGAAGTGCAAGAAGCCCAAAGACAGCCCGCAGTTGGTGGTGCGCAGGCGTTCGAGGAAATCTGCTGTTGAGGTTGCGGTCCAAGGCCCTTCCCAGTCCACTGGCTCCAACACTAATATTGAGCGTCTACTGTCCGACGGTGGGTAGAGTATTAGCTCAATGAGACTGTCCGATTCAAAGACAGAGAGTCGTAATCGAGGTGTACGGTTGAGGAGCAGTCTAGGTCTGTGACAGGAGAATTGACAAGCGCCGGGCGGTGGTCGACGCCGAGCTCAAAGAGGAGCGAGCTCGAGCAACGAGGGGATTGAGGAATGCGCAGCGACCACTGTGGATACGGCACTGGAGAGTTAATGCGAAATATGTCGTCGGATAACAAGTCTTCGGAGACAGGAGTCCGGATGTTGGACTCGAACAGCGATGCGAAAGTTGAAGAGCAGAGAAACGACGAAAGACCAGGATCTGGGGGAAGGAAACTGGGCGAATCGCAAGAGGCCAGCGAGACCAGATCAGGGCGTAGGGGGAAGCTGGCGATCCACGACGGCAGCTCAGCCGAAAGTCACTCACACCAGCTCAGAGTTTAGGTACAGCTGCTTCCTGTTATCTATTATGCCTTGGTATGATCCTTTTGGCTGCATCAACCCCCTCAAAACCATCCGCCAGTATGTGACCATGGGTGAGCGAGTGGAACAGGAGTGTACCTCGTATTGACTGCCATTCCCGCCTCCGTCCGCCTGGACGCCCAATGCGTGATCTCATTGGCATTCCATTCTCACTCGCCACATTCCACCCTCCTGTCCTCGTACTCAGTTCTCGCCTTCAGCCCCAGGACACTGACAAGGGGGGCCAAAAACAATGTGCACAGAGTACGAACAACACAGCCTTCACGGTATGTGTAGGGCTGAGCAACACGACTCTTGCTGTCAGCTCCTCACCGTAATCTAAATCATCTGTCCACCCAAGTATGTAAGTCAATTTCCTTCCCCTACTGATTCTTTGATCTCAAAAGGGTACTGTTCCTCGAGATTCGCAATGTCTATGGTCATCCATTCTCAATCACAATCATCATGTCCATGAGGCGCTTCACGTCTCCGCCTCTTCGGTTCGTATTCGTTCTTTTCCCTTGCCGGCAAGTCCTTGGGTCTCCTGTTCCTCAAATAATCCAGCCAGACCCTGGCCCTCTCTCCTTTCTCGAGTTTGTGCAGACAAGCTTTCACCGCATCATTGAAGCCGGATTTCTCAGAGGCATCCTGACTGCTCTGATGGTCTTCGCATGTCTACTTTGCCTTCTCATAGGTGCACTATGCGGATTGGCTGCCTACCTGAAGAATCATGACACGAAGTTGTGGGGACGACATGAGGAGCTCTATGTCTTTGGCCACGAGAAGAACGAGGAAGAGGAGGGGGGCTCGTCCCCGGTCTTGAAGCGCCTGAATAGATCGGACCCTCGATACCACGACAAGTTGCAATTCCAGGGACAAAGCCGTATTTCTCGGTACCTTTCCAGCAGTCATTCAATACCCGTCACAAAGATCAGCATCTACGCCTCGCCGTGTCGGGCATCGACTGCAACTAGTGTTCTGTCTGCACCACCTTGGACACCGCAAACTCCAACACGAAGCTCTGTGAGGCCACTTCGCTCCGCCCTGTCCAAATCACCACCCTCGTCCAAGCGACCTTCCTGGGTTCAGACTCCCCCATTTGCGTTAAGGAGAGGTAGCTTGAGCTCGTCTCCTTCCCCGTCCCCAAAATCCGTCCGCTGGGCAGATGAGGTTCAGATGACGATGGTAGAGATAAGCTTTTCAAGAGACAGAGCGACATCAACCAAAGGCCGTCCTGGTTCTCATACCGAGACGGGTGGTAGATTACGCGGGATGGATGGATATGGTCTCGACATTAGCGATGCGTTTGTTGAGTTCTCCTCCTCAACGTGTCACCCATCACCTATTTCCTCAACACAAAACCATAAAACTACCTTCGACACGGCCGGCATTCAAGTGCAGGAAGCAGAATTCCCATCCAACAGAACAACCTCGATGAAACTAGAAGGCGATACCGATTGATTCGAGCATTGAGGTTGCAGAGCGACCCAAAATAGGGGTGGATGTTGGTGTCGAGATTGTTTCAGACGTACTGGAGTTCTTCGTTGATGATGCATTTACGGCCATTATTTCAGGATGTATAGATACTTTTTCTTGAGACTTCGTATGACAGTATGAGTAGTTCTCTTGTCCTCGGCAGGATCCTAGGCAAGGCGGCCCGCTCCGATCCATTTCACTAACGCCTGCTCTATTTATTATATTGAAAGGTCCTGTGATGCAGCTGTGCTTCTAGGAAGAAATTCCGACTTTCACGAGGGACCAACTTAAGTAAATTTTTTTCCTGCAGCTCGCACCTCGTCAAGGCCATGTCTCTGCTCAGTGAAAGGGAAGGTGTAGGTGCTCTCGTCATATCTTTGTTGGTAGCAGAAGATGTCCTCTAGCGCATGGCGCCCATTATTAATACTAACGCCGTAGCCTCGTCAGGCCACCTCTTTGTCGATGGTCTACTCCCTGGTTCTGACACAAGATTTGGAGGGAAGAGACCACGAGAGAAAGCCATGGAGCCCTGATGAAGTTTTTGAACTCGTTATTGGTCTCGTCCTGACATCTCGACCAATATCACACAGCTCGCTGGATTGACCTGGGGAAAATCTTCGGCGCGAAAGATGCGATGAGACTACTGGTTGTCCCCCGGCGCAAGTGAAGATTCGATGAGAATCCGCAGGGGTTTCAATGCGCGAGAACTTCTTGCTTCTCTGGCATCAGACTCGCGGGCGTACCAATACCGGCCGCTGCCTTCGCCTACCTCGATCCGCTTACTCGAAGTCCATCCTGCCTCGCCTTTTCCCGAAAGCAGCGGCGGGAGCATCACAGTCTCACTACGCACGTTTCCCGTCGACGACGCCCCTCCCTTCCAAGCTCTGTCTTACACATGGGGCTATCCGTTGATTCCAGAGTCCCGGCCTTCACGGAGCAGCAACTGGCGCCGCCTTGCATTTGTGCAGCGTGTCCAAGCCAGGAGCCCCCGTCTGCTGGATCCGGATGGCCACGGTGTCCCTGGAAGTATTAGTAGCACCGGCACACCGTCCCCTTTCAGCGGTTCTCAATCCCAAGGTCTCCCGGTGCTGCGCACAAGGATCACGGAAAACACCCCGTGTTTCCCGGTGAAGTGCGAGGGGCGCAATGTCCGCGTCACGGCGAATCTGCACGATGCGCTTGCAATGCTGGCCCGCCGCCGCAATCCCATGCAAGCGGACAATGCTGCTTTAGAGACGAAATACATCTGGGTGGACGCCTTGTGCATCGATCAATCTTCCCTCGCGGAGCGAAATCAGCAGGTCAACCTAATGGCGGACATCTTCAAGGCGGCCCGAGGTGTGATTGTGTGGCTCGGCGAAGAGGATGAGTTCACTCAGGACGCCTGCACCGTGATGGAAAGAATTGCAGCGGTCCCAAGGGAAAAGTTCTCCGCTGTCCCTTACACGGGCTTCTACGACGAGGACGGCTCTTGTTATCGCGAGCTCGGGATTGAGCCTCTGAGCTATCAAAATTGGCTGGGTCTCATCGCATTCATGAACCGCCCCTGGTTTTCGCGATGCTGGGTGGTCCAGGAGCTGGCGCTGGCGAGAAAGGCCACCGTCGTGTGTGGGAGTCGGTTGCTGCAATGGGAGCAACTAGCCAGAACGATTGAATTCATCCGTGCAACAAAGTGGTATCATCACTTATCCACCGAGAAAATGCGACACATTCGTGCCCTAGGCCGAAGTTCAGGAGCGTTCAAGAAGCTTTTGGCAAGCAATGCCAGATTCGGACTCGAGCCCGTCTATCTCAACAACACGCGGAATGCACTGCAGTCGTATCCCCAGAGAGAAAGCAGCGGTGGCCCGTCGCTGAGGGTGCTGCTGGACACGCATAGGTATACCGCCGCTACCGATCCTCGAGACAAGGTATATGCTTTCCTCAGTTTGTCCAACGCAGCAAAGTCGTCCCCAGAGAAGCGCGACGAGATCAAGCCAAACTATCAGACTCCCGTCCGCCAAGTATACACAGAAGCAGCATGCACGCTTATCCGGAGCACTCGGAATCTGAATCTGCTGTCCCACGTGCAAGATCGATCCTTGACAAAAGTTAAGGGTCTTCCATCTTGGGTCCCGGACTACTCTGTGCCCCTTTCGCCCTATCCGCTTGAATTTCGAGGGAAATGCAACTGGTCTGCCTGCGGCAATCTGAAATGGAGACCGCCGAGTGACCAGACGACGCTCCTCAGAGGCCTCTTGCCAGTACAAGGCTTCCACATCGATACCATCGCCGAGAAAGCAATCATGCCGCACGAAGCCACGGATGCCGGAGAGCCTTGGGCCAGTATTGTGGATCTGGTTTTCCACCTGCCGAACCCCTACTCTGTGCCATCAATTCGGGGCGCCCCGATTTCACGCCTCGACGTCCTCTGGCGCACGCTCACCACAAATACATACTCTCGGCAACATCCAGCTCCTTCTGAATGTGGAGCCTTGTTCATCGACTATATTCTCAACCTGCAGATACGACACCGGTTGGCTCCTTGGTCGTCACATGACACCGATTTTCAACCACATCAAACACCCTTTTCTACTCTCACCAATCCCGACTGGCATAGCCTCTTGGCGTCCGAGCCTGCAAATTCTCCGTACAATCTCTCCTTCTATCGCGATCGATTGACTGCGTTGGTCGAGAACATGTTGTCCAGCGATTCATACTCGCCGCTTGACCTCGCTCAGTTCCATCATGATATTGAGCACGGCTCCGGAAGATTGCGAAGGCTATTTCGAACAAAAGATATGTTGCTTCTCGGAACTGGCCCCCAGTCTCTTCGTGTGGGCGATGAGGTCTGGATTTTGGCAGGTGGCAAGGTGCCGTATATTCTTCGTCCTATCAAGAGTGGGACAGATGGTGAATATGTGGGTGAGAAAACCCATCGATTGGTTGGCGAGGCGTATGTCCATGGTGTAATGCACGGCGATCCACACCGTTTCGAACTGGACATGGTGAAGACGGTTTTGGTTTGAACACGGTCATTCCAAAAGCCTTCAACTTCAAGGCCGGGATTTACAGGAGGAATGGTTGTGTAAATAAGGGAGTTACCCGCATATACGAATATCTCATAGAAGAGGGTCATTCGAATCTGTAAATTGTGCCCTAACGGAAGAAGTCAGCGTCAGCTTCCATCGGGAGAAGTGAGAATATCAAAAGGTGCAAAAATGTACATCAGACAATTTCGAGAAGATATGTGGCTGGTTGGTTTAGGCACTGCGTCCGAATGCCCAGGGTTGCGAGGATGACCTGCAAACTCTGAAGCAGAACGCTTCTCTGGCCCCAGCGGCCTCGTCATTGGAAAAATAAAATCACAGGCGAATGCGGCGAGCACTTACTCGTTCAGACCGATGCCTGACCAAAAACTGCGGCGGGATTGTTGTTATATGGTCAGCAACGATCAATGCCACCGGAAGGATATCAGCCCGGATTGATTTCCAGTTTCCCTCTCCTCGCTCTCATCTCCTCCACTATCTTCTTATCCTCCTCGAAACGCTTCACCATCTCGTCTTGCTCCTGTTTCCGTCTCTCTCGCGTCTGGAACCTATAAAAGTCCTCCAAAGCTTTGGCTTTCTCTTTCTGCTTCTCGGCAGACTCCTTCGCTTCATCCATCCGCGCACTGCCTCTTGATCCTCGAGTGACAGTAATGAAACCATCTTCATCAGGAAGTGCGCGCTTGCGTGCGTTTTCGCGAGACCGAGACTCTTCGAGTTGGGAGTAAGCAGTCATATATGCGTTGACTGAACGAAGAAGTTCCTTGCGCGAGGGATATCGTAGTGACTTGTGGCGTTCATATCTCGTCAGTCCGAGCCGCGGTATTTCATTGACCACTGAGCCTGCCATGCCTTCCCACGCGATTGGTGTACCCGTTTTTGCGGCTCGTTGAGCGGCTTTGAGAGTGAGTTCCATGCTAGGTTTGTCCACAAAGACGACTACAGCCGACGCGCCAGACTTTTGGATCTCGCTGTCAAAGACATTTGGGAGCGAGTATGTGTCCAGTCCAGCCTCGATCTCTTCGACAGACATCCTCTTACGCTTTCGACTTGATTTCGTTGCGGAAGCGGGTTGTTTGCCTGGTGCATTCTCCGAAAAATGCACTTGCTGTATGCGTCCGCCTTCAAGTTGAGTCGTGAAAAGGTATTTCAGGGACCGCTCGGTAGCGCATACTGGGATGTTCACCAAGAATAAAGATCTAGGTGTATCTTCGTCGGGGATTTTGGGGTCGTGAGGTTTCAGGTAGAGGTAGTGAGTGGCTTCTCGGGAGAAAGCTCCTTTGCTGGGTAATTCCAATGGTAAAGCGATACAACCGCTTACCTCTCGAGGAACCCTTACCATGGCGAAGATCTCGTCGCTGGGCAGCATACAAAGCAGACTCAACTTTTTTCGTCGCAGTTGGGGAAAGACTGCGCAGTGTGGGGTCGGCGGAAAGAGCCTTAAATGACAACTAATGACGGACAGTGCTGTCACAACAAGGCTGTCACTCGTGCCACTACCTAGGTATCTTACCTACGTACCACCTAGCGAGCTAGGTACAGATGCCTTCAAACACTCTCCACTTGAAAGAACTACCGACTTAGCCATTCGGATTCCTTTGCGTCCCAATTCCTCAATTAAGAGCCGATAATACAAAGCGTACTCAGTGCTCTCAAATTGGTCACTGTCTCGTAAGACAAACAGCTCGTAACCCAGCAACTAACACCGACTCGCCGCCCCTTGAGGCCTTTCGAGCGACCCTTGAAGCCAATGCCAGTGAGGAACAGGCTATCGAGTCCGACCCTGTCACCAGCAGTGTGCTCGTAGCACCATCGATCTCTGCTGCAAGGGCTTGGCTAACTGAGCATTTGTCCTGGAGTCCATCAGGAACCACAAGCTGTGTCTCAGTTTTCTTGGGCTCCTTGCACATTAGCTTCCTCTTCCCAGAGGGCGCGTTGGCTTCATCATTTGCCTGAAGGAGTAGTAGCATACTTGTGGAAGTGGCAGCCTCTCATTTTACTGGTCGTCCCGCCTGTTCTCCCGATCCAATGCAGACATTCGTATCAGAGACTCTTCCCGCGGCTAGAGTCCGTGGTATTTTCGCGGAGGTATCACCATGAACAGGACGGCAGCGAAATGACAGAAGAGCCTAATTTTGAGACACAACACCATCCGGGGTCAGGATCGACCAATTTGGATAGCAGCTGCTGAACAAAATCTCTGATCTTCGAAGGCTCTCAACGAGATCCTTCGCCGATTGCACCAGCACGGAGGCCGTTGATGGCGCGTGATTGGCCCGCTTGAAGACCGGCCGCAAATGCGACTCAGTAGAATACCCGAATGTCCTTGGCTGCGAACGTCTCTCTTTCCAACACCATAGCAGGCTTGACTGTACTTGTAGGTTCCATCGTGAGAACCGAATTGTTGACTTTTGATATGGCATTTCCAAATCAAGGGTTTCTCTGTAATTGACTCTTAGCCCATTCCTTCCTTGGAGTGTTCGGCTAGATCTTCATTCAAGCAATCTGATCAGAGTGGATGAGCTGATAGAGTGCGGGCCTAGGTGGGCGTCTTCGGGGGGAGCCATTCCCATTCGCGGATGCTGACGCCATATGGTGTGTCAACAAGCCCACTCCAGCTACATGGCACGGCCATGAGAGGTGGGAGGTACTGAAATGGTGGTTGTGTGAAATAGAAGTGTCAGAAAGATGATGGGTAGCTCGCTCAATCGCCGGCAATGTTGTGTTATGTAGCGGGTACTGGCCTAATAATAATAATAGCGCTAGACGCCTTTTGGTATTAGCTCAGATTGACGTCAACCACCCTTATTTGTAGCTACTCCTACTGCCCGAACCTCAGCATGTGCCATATACCGTGAGGCTTGAGTGAGGGTGGTGTGCTGTGGCTGACCTGAACATCCCTTGAAGAGACACACGAACGAGGAGAGCACCACAGTAGGTAGGTAATGCAGGTACTACCAATATTGCCATTATCAAAGGTACTGGCGAACTAGTGTCCAGGTAGGACCCCATAGCACCCCGTTGATGTACACCTGCTGCTTTCTACCCTCGATCAGAGTGTGAACAGCTATTCTAGGAACTGGCAAACCTGACATCAAATTCAACACCGCCACTGCAACCTCTCTACAAGACAATCGGTGTCTGGCGGGATTATCTCAATCAAATCCCCGACAGCAGCCAACAGCAGCCAACTTCAGGCCCGGCTCCAAAAAGATCATGAATCTGAATAAGCATGTCGACGAGGCTGGGCTGTTGAAGCTCCTGGCAACCAAAGCTTTCATCGCACAGATCGCGGTCATTCTCTCCCTCTCTCTCCACCTCATCTCTCTTTGCTCTCCCATGCTCCTTGCGGTGAGTCTGACTGGTGCGGCTCGTCCCTCGATACAATGAACCGCTTCTTTCTTTAGATAGGTGCCCTTTACCACACTCCAACTCTCCGCGATGTTGCCATGGAGTGGTCAGCAATGTCTCACATCATTTACTGGAGGCTGGAAGGCCAGTATAAATCAACTTCGTTTCAGCGTCCTGCATGCTCTCATGATTCTCCTCCGTCAACAAACAACACAAGAATCAAAAAGCATCCGTTCGTTGCATTATAATTGAAGGCCTTGCTGTTTCACTCGATACGTTCGCTCGTCTCCAAGCCGGTGATTTTCGACTTCTACCTTTGACTATTTGAGAAAGACTCACTCAGTGGAATCCTCAAGATGTTGGCTTCGTGCTCGCTGTTGCTTGCGGTCCTCGCCGGGTCCGCCTTGGGGCTGCCTCTGCTGGATGAACAAAAGCGTGATAGTACCTATTCTCCAGTCTACAGCACTTCAACTTACAGCACCTACCCGGTATACACAACGAGTTCCACTTACTACCCCGTCTATACGACTACCTCCACGTACTATCCAGTGTATACAACCTCTTCCACCTACTCCTCGGTGTACACCTCAACCTACTCCCCAGTGTACACATCCACTTCTACCTACTCTCCAGTTTATACGTCTACCTCAACCTACTCCTCCCCAGTGTATTCTTCTACTTCGACCTACTCCTCGTCAACTTACTCTTCGACCTACTCCTCTTCAACTTACTCCTCGACCTACTCCCCTTCAACTTACTCCTCGACCTACTCCCCGGCGTATACGAGCACGTACTCTTCTTCGACCTACTCCCCAGTTTACACGAGCACTTACTCCTCTTCGACCTACTC